GGCTGCGTGTCTTCGGAGTCGATGGTTCGAAGGCATTGCAGGAAGAAGAAATGTGACGGTCATAAAAATTTGATTTCTGGTAAGCAGATGACTGATGTCTAAAGTTCAGGAGGTCTGGGTTCAAATCACAGTCTGATCCATCTCATTTTCCCCTTTCCAGTTACATAAACAAAACGATATAATAGATAATATTTGATCTAGAATTGGCCTGTCAACGAAAGGACGCACTTCACATCTCTAAATGAAAAAGTGGTATGCACAGGAATCATGTTTATTTTAGTCGACACGTCATTGAGTATATAGATTGTTTCTTTTCATAATAGCTCTATGATATTATTAAGAATAAATTAGACATAAATCGGACAAATATTAAAAGAATACAAACTACCATACAGTTCTATCAGTTAACTCAATTTTATACAATTAATATCTTAAATACTATTTTCTTGCAGCCATTAATATTTTTCTCAGAATTAAAACTCATTGCTTTCAATGTCCCTTTTATGTAAAGGAGAAAGGCCTAAAACTGTCCATTCTGTGAGAGAAAGAACTAATCGAGGGCCTACGGCCTTTCTCCTACTTAAAACATGATTTCCTTTGTTCTGAAAACTAAATAAAAAATGTTCAAAATGACAGGTAGCACACATACAATGACAAGTTCATTGTTTACGGAATGGACAGTCACAGGTAAGCCAGGGATGCAGAGCAATTTGTTGAATAGTCATTGTGTTTTCAGATGCAAATAACAAAAGGTCTTTGTCTTAAGAATGGACAGTTACAGGTGGATTTTGTGGGATACTAGTATTTATACAAGTATGCGATGCTTCAAAATCAGTTTACTTTTTGCGTTGTAAAGGCATACGTTTTCCTGTGATGGAAAGAGTATATGATAGAATCAAAATCTTATAAACTAAAATATTCACAAAAGTAGTGATATTTGGATTTGGAAACAGAAAAGTAAGAGTAAAAGAAATAGTAGCCAAAATTTGACCCAAAAATGAACTTCGACGACAGATACAGATGATCAAATTCAAATCAAACCTGGAAATGTTTTTTTTTTTTAATTCTATTTTTGAGGATATATTAACTACAGCAGTGTAATGGTGAGATGAAAATTGTGTTCTGAGTGTTGGATTAGCCATGAGCCAATCTTCGACCTGAAATGTTTTTCAAATCAAATCTGGAAATGTTTCATTTTTATTTATTTTCTACAGAAATATTAACTGCAGCAGTGTAGTGTTCATGGTGCAAACTGTTTTCTGGGTAGAGGATTTAATATTAGACGTACTTCTATCTGAAAATGAATTCTCCTCGAGGGAATTATTTTTCCAAAATTTAAAGCAAATGTGAAATTGTGTCATTTGAATTCAAGTTTTGTGAAAATTATGTTTTGGGTATTGAAATAATGTGCATCATTCATGGATTAAAAAGAGTAAAATGGATTGGATGCTTTGCAGACATTGTATTCTGGATTAACTTTGACCCCCGCGTTCTTTTTGTTATTTACATGTAAATTAAAAAGTATTTAATGTATTTGTTTTTGTTTCAGTCTTGAACACATTCCAAAGTTTACCTGTAACTCTCCTTCTGTTTGTTTTAACTGTCCATTCTTTTTGAAAAAAAAACTGTCCATTCTTAAAAGAATGGACAGATTTTCAAGAAGAATGGACACTTACAGGTAACTTAATGGATTGTTTGAGGAGTTAACTCAACATTAAGCTATAGAATGGGCAACACAAACAAAAGGTCCACGTCCAAATCATGTTTTAACTTAAAATAATTAACTAAATCTTAAAGACATTTTCCTCCTATAACAACTAGAAATATGAAATACGGATTTTGAATAGTGATCAGTTGTTAAACAAAGGACAAACAAGATATGGTAACGGCCCATTTTGACCCCTTATTTCATAAAAAATGAAAACAGTTGTGATATTTTGCAAGTAAGATGCTTGTTTTAAAACCAACTTTAATTTTAATTCGAAGCCTACACGGAGTCCGCACGACGGTGCCAATGTAGGACATTGTACCTATTTTTCTCAGTTCTGATATAATTTTGTCAAACTTTAAGATACTTTTCACTTTCTTAAAGATGAAGCACAAGCTTGCCTATTTGAGGTTTTTTATACACAAGATGCGTCTAAATGAAAAATGTCAGTCAAGATTCGACTTAATGATAGGCTGTATTTTGGTGACAAGGTTATTTTTTCGACCATAGAACTTACGAAATGATGACTTTAAATGAAACTGCTGATACTACTAAGTCAAAGGCGTACTGACATTCTCATTTTTACTGACAAACTTAGACAATTATTGACAATGTGCTACCTTTACTGCAAAACGTACTGCAAGAGAATTACTGACCATTTTACTGCCGGTGCTGATAAACTTAGAAAAATGCTGACAATCTTAGTCGGTGCTGATAAACGTTGACAATTACTGACCCGTTTCACTGTCCCTGCTGAAAAACTTAGACAAGTGCTGACATTTACTGATAAGTACTGTTCATATTGTTCTCGCTCTCGGGGGTCTGCAGTGGTTTGAAAATGTTTGTGTATCATTAGAAACAGTCTTATTTTAATTTTCAAAATAAAGTTTCAGTTCCCGGATAGTTAAATTTTTTAACTAAGAATTTTATTATTGATATCTTTAAAATAATTCATAATACGATGTACAATTAACTATGTGTGAATCAAATTTAAATAAATTTGTTGAATAATTGCACTTTATACCTATCCCTGTTCAATCTAAAGAAATAAATTAATTAATCAACAAATTAGTTTTTCATCAATTTATTCCTTAGCAGAAAGATGCTAAATAAACCCGTCTTTAAATGTATAGTTTGCTTTATTTGATGTTTTCATGAAATTACGTTTCTATTTTTTTTATCAATAGGACAAACCCTTCTTATCAAACAAAAAAAAAATAAATGTTCTAAGACTTGAATAATTACAGATCAGTCATTTCATTTCTAAATGTTCTTGGACATCTGTATATACCGCTTGAATATTTATGTATTTACTTGTTCATTCGTTTCAGTTTCGATTAATATTGTTTTCACTTTCTTTTGTTTAAGATTAAGATTATACACTGTGGGTCCCCACTACCTCCCGTGCCAAGTTTCCTACCCTCCCATCTCTCTCTCTCCAAAAGATCAATATTGACCCCGGCGAAGAGAATGCAGATAGTTTGAGATATAGTGTAACACCGACTGAAAATAATTTTTTATTGTTATGATCTTGTTGCATGTAAATTGTTTTTGAATGATTATTCTAAAATTGTTTATAAAAAGTTAAGAAAATAAACCTGGAATTATTTTCAGCTTTTTTTCTAATTTGATAAACAAGCTTTCCATGCATGTTAATGACAACGCATTCATTATTTCTCTCTCACTTTACCGTCCCTTGAAATGTACATTTCATGCTAACCCGACTTAACAGCAAATATTAGGAAGAAACCCCTGTAAACCATACTTTTGCAACACTTTAGTAGTGGCTTCCTCCTTTTCATTTACTTATTTTTGTTGTTTAAAAATTGCAGCTAAATGTTAAAAGTTTGTGTTCTTCCCGAATTAGATTTTCACATTATATTTTTAATAAATTATTCAGCAGGGGCAGTGAAAAGGGTCAGTAATTGTCTAAGTTTATCAGCACCGACTAAGATTGTCAGCACTTTTATAAGTTTTTCAGCACCGGCGGTAAAAAGGTCAGTAATTGTCTAAGTTTTGCAATAATTTTGTCAGTAATTGTCAGTAAAAATGGGAATGGCAGTACGTTTTTGACTTTGTAGTGAGCTGCATGATATTCTTGTTTCATCAACTTGTTTGTCAGTAGGTTGCCTCGTTTTAAAATTTGTTCGTATGTAGAGCATGCTCTTGCGTATCGAATCAACTGGAGACAAAAACCAGGTGATATGGTATATTGCTACATGATTAAGGGAAGTTGACGATAGAAAAGTTGAAGTCATCACGTTTATCATAAAGTTTTGTCCTTCGATTACCATAAACGTCTTTTTCTAATTAAATATCCAAATATGAAACAGATTTGTCAGACTCTGTGCTATCTTTTATTTCAAGTTCACTGGGATATATCGAGTCGACATATGAATGAAATAAATAAATTTGGTAGATAGGCAAGTTTAATTTGTGCACTGCATCTTTCTGAAACAAAATGTGCTGTAAAATTGTTGAAAATTTGGTTAAAATGAAAACATTCAGAAATTTTCATAATTTAAGACCTTCCTATGACCTTTATGTGTCCCATTACCTAGAATCGATACTCATTTTGTAACAGGGATGGCAACAGGTTTTTACTGATGAACTGTTACATCGTTCCTAAAGACATTCTAGATCAGGGGCCAAAAAGGGGCCTCACCCTATCTTGCCCATTATATGACGCATGCCTTTCCCATCGAGATTACGATACAAATCTGAATTGCTCTCTCTCTCTCTCTCTCTTTCTCTCTCTCTCTCTAGAAGTATGGAATCAAACAAAACTTGACAAACGAGCATTTTTACTGAAGTCCGCTTTTTCTAATGATAGTCGAATTGCAATGTACGGTCATGTTATCATGAACTTAGGTATTCTGTTGCTAGATTATTTTTACTGCAATCTGTGATTTCTATAATTTTAGATCGCAGAAAATGAGACTTCAGAAGCACTGAAATCTTCATTGGCATACAATGATTCAATACCACTGACTTCCATGTTAACTTGGGGGGTTGGGGGTTACTTTTGAGCTGTACAAACTAGGGTATTTGTTTCCGCAATCAAGTTTTTTTTCTAGATTTTTTTTAAATAGAATTTTTGTTGCATATAGCATGAGGTCAATTATAATATTCAAGGTTATTTGTTGTTACACTTCATAGTCTCACATGTAATAAAAAGACCACAATATTTTCATTACACATCATATTCCTTAATATAGAAATAAGTAATTTTTTAGAACAGAGAATTATTTTTTTTCTAAGTTGAAAAAAAGAAATCTTTAAAAAAGTACAATGAAATAATAAGCTATTTATCTCTTTAAAAACTTTACCATAAATCATACAAAGTATTATAGAGACAAATTGTAAAAGTCACAAATATCATAACAAATGTCCACCACTGTTTCATTGTTTTCTGACCTGAAAATACAGACAAACAACAATCAAAGTAATTAAAAAAAGGACTTGTAACGACTTGTAAAGACGAATGTGTGCCATTATTTTAACCAATCAATTACTACTATTAAGTTTTTTTCACAAATTAAAAAAGACTCAAAAGGAAAAAGTATAACACTGCTGATTCTAGAATTGTTTTCGATCATCACAAATTAAGCAATATATGCACGCACCAAAGACTTGGAAAAGCGCTTCAGACGTCCACTAGGTTCAGGAATAACATGATTGTTTGAAATTCTTTATTGAATTTATAATTGGCAGTAACGAATTGATGTCCCTCGAAACACTCAACAGAAAACTATGCACTTTTCAAAGGACTCTATTTTTAAAATTTAAATATCCATGAAAACAACAATTATTTCACACATATTTACACTCTATTCAGAGCGTGAGTTAATCTATGAAATATAAATAAAAAAGCTTATATATAATATTTATTCACACAAAGTAGATATCTCTTGTGCATGTCCCTGTGTACAGTTTTGTTCGTAAAACGTAACATTTCAGTAATACACACGAAATCAATGTTCTAGTATTTATAAGTTTCTTTTTATCATGAGATATTTCTTTTCTGTCTGTTTCTTAAGATCAAATGAAAAAAGGAGGTATATGTATTCGCAACAAATCAATAGAAAGATGAAATAAAAACATCTTATCGTTGTTAGTGTCTCTAAATATACCTAAATAATTGTTAGAGTAAAAACGCTTTCCAAATAACAATTTAATAAAGTGATAAGTTTTAAAATTACCACATTTCGTCTACCATATGCCCATAAATTACTATTATTAATCATTAATTATGTTTAATGATATACATACCATTGTTGCATTTTACGCCTTTCATCAATGGTTTAATGATGGCTTGTAGATACGAATGAACAAATGGCACTGCTTTGTCATCACAAAGTTCTTTTGTTTTATCATCTATACAGGTCGTCATTTTTGCTGCTACTCTGTGAATTCATTCAATATCAATTTAAAACTTTTAAAAATGGTATTAATCCTTTTATTCAGAGATTTACAAGATTTTGCTATGCAAACAATTTTTAACGATGAATTTATCTGCAAGATTTTATGGTATTTTGGAGCAGCTTAAGTTTAAAGTCTTAGTCGTAAGTTCTTTAAATGGATCACTTAGATTGACGTCTCAAAATAAAACACTTGATTATTTCCTACAGTGATACAGTAGGCCTAACTTTACTTCCACTCAGATTTTTATGTTCTTAGGTAAAAAAAAATTACCTGCATTTTTCACTAGAAGTATCAGAACCCCTTTTGGTGTCTTGCTTTTCGATTAGTTGTTGGACGAGTTTCAAGCAAGACATTATGCTTGTTTGATTCACCACAAATTTGGTCATCACACATTGGAAATTTTCAATAAATCCTATTCAAGAGGGAAAAGAGGAAAAAAAAATAATATCACACAAATACCTTTTGGTTCCATCTTTTACTCATTTTTGCATTTTAAACCTATCTTCCAACTCGAGAAAAAGAAAGTCGAAACATTTTTTTCAGGCTATTTGGACATGTTTCATAAGAGGATCGTTACCGATATATATTAGAATGAAATTATCTATGTCCAAATAGCTGGATCTCACTTCCATTCTCGATGACCATGTAGTGCAGCGAGAATTCCATTCCATCGAAAGCAAATTTTAATAACTTGCCTAGATGGCCGAGGGGTGTAGCGCGTCGTTCTTGCACTGCTACGAGGCAGGTTCTACAGGTCAAGAGTTAAGTTACGGGTTTTGGCGGGAGTGAGTATCCTTGTACAGTGGGCCAAATGGTGTTTCCGCTGCTTCTCGCAGTTTATTAAAATAAAGCAGTTTTAAGCTTTTAAAGAAGTAATTTTCATGGAGTTGTCAAATTAATCAATTTTAAGGTAACAGAAGTAAAAAAAAAATATTTTCATTTTTCAAGACATGACCTTGTTAACGATTTTGTAACTCATAAATGGATTTTACGTCATTTTAAGCTCACCTGAGCCGAGGGTTCAAGTGAGCTTTTCTGATCAAAATTTGCCCGTTATCTATCGTCGTTGTCGTCGTCGTTGTCGTAGTAAACGTTTCACATTTTCATCTTTCTTCTTCGCAAGAACCACTGGGCCAATTTTCAGTCAAACTTGCCCCAAATTATCCTTGGGTAAAGACAATTAAAATTTGTTCAAATGAAGGGCCACACCTTCTTCCAAAGGGAGATAAAATGATTTCGTGAAAAATTAATGGAATAATTTAAAAATCTTCTTCTTAAGAACAACTGTACTTGTACATATGAAACTTATGTGAAATCATTGTGAGGTAGTGTAGATTCAAAATTTTCATATCATGACCCCCGGGGGTAGGGTGGGGCCACAAAAGGTGATCAAAGTTTTACATAGGAATACATCAGAAAGGGTGGGACAACAATGGATGATCAAAGTTTTAGAGAGGAAAACATAGGGAAAATCTTTAAAAACCTTCTTCTCAAGAACAGCACGCCATGATTGGTCATATTTATATTGAAGCATCCTCAGGTAGTGTAGATTCAAATTTGTTCAAAACATGACCCCCGGGGATAGGATGGGGCCACAATGGGCGATCAAAGTTTTACATAGGAATACACAGGAAAAATCTTTAAAAATCTTCTCAAAAACAACGCCATGATTGGTCATACTTATAAGGAAGCATCATCAAGTAGTTTAGAGTCAGGTTTGTTCAAATCATTACCCCTGGGGATAGGGTGGGGCCACAATGGGTGATCAAAGTTTTACATAAGAATACAGGAAAAAATCTTTAAAATTCTTTACAAGAACAGCAAAGCTTTGATTGGTCATAATAATATTATTGCATCCTCAGGTAATGTTGATTTAAATTTCTTCAAATCATTACCCTCCAGGAGAATAGAGGGACCATAACAGGGTATCATAGTTATACAACGAATATAAAGAATATTTCGATAAAATTTTCATCTTAAGAACAGTAAAGCCATTATGTGTCATATTTATTCATAGGCATCCTTAGGAAATGTAGATTCAAGTTTGTTCATATCATAACCCCACCCCACTCCTCCGAACTACTTTTATATTTAAACTTTTCAATACTGAAATGATTTCTGCTTTTATCTACCAACGTGTGAGCGATGTTGCCCCTGGGCCTCTTGTTTGTGTTAGTGACGTTATGAGGAACTGAAGTTTTTAATAAGGGCCACAAAAAGTGCAAAAAAAAGAGAAGAGTACAAGTAATATGCTCTTGTGAAACATGGAGATTTGAAAATGTCACGATTATTTTTGGTTATCTTCTGCAAAAATTCCTAGTGCCTGTAAAGTGTTGTAGCATTCCATAAAAATAGGAAAATTCCGTATATATTGACAGTTTGAGATCCCCCTCTCCCTCTGGAAAGCAGACTGTATAAATTTGTACTTTTAATATATAAAGTTCGGTATAGTATTACTGATCACATACTGTAATTTGAACAAGAAAACTACTGTAATATTTTTGTAATTTGCTTTGAGGTCAAAAAAACATTTCCCCATATAATCCCATGGTAAGTGCAACTGTATTTTGAGATGGTCCCTTAAGATAGAAAAATATGCAGACAGTATATTTATGTTCCCCAAACGAAGTTTGGGAACATATTGTTTTTACTCTGTTTCTTATTATTATTATTATTATTATTTTTCTTCCTGGGTACTTTTTTGTCCGTGAGTGATCTCCGAAACTACACATCCGATTGAGGTGAAACCTTTTTAGGGTTAATAGGTATGTTATGTAGATTTGCGGAACGAAGGTCATTTTTCGCGCACGCGCATGCACGTGCGTGCGCGTGCAATGCGTAAAATGACCAATATACTTGATATAGCTGTAGCTTTTATATTTTTTGACGAAATGCTTTGATACTCAGAATATAAGGATATATTAATAGTGTAGACAAGATGACATGGTCAGAATGCGCATGCATGCACGTGCGCGCATGCGCATTGATTGAAATAACCAATACAATTGATATAGATTTAACTTGTACATTTTTTGATGAATTGCATTGAAACTCAGAATATAAATATATATTAGAAGTGTACACAAGAAGACTTGATCAGCGCACACATGCATGCACATGCGTGCACGTGCGCGCGCGTGCAATGAGTAAAATGACAGATGTACTTGATATAGCTATAACTTTCATATCTTTTGATGAAATGCGTTGATACTCAGGATATCAGGAGATATTAAAAGTATAGACAAGATGACATGGTCAGAATGCATATGCATGCACGTGTGCGCATGCGCAATGATTGAAATAACCAATACAAATGATAAAGAATTAACTTGTACATTTTTTATGAATTGCTTTGAAACTCAGAATATAAATATATATTTGAAGTGTTCACAAGATGACATGATCAGCGCACACATGCATGCACTTGCAAGCACGTGCGCGCGCATGCAATGAGTAGAATGACCAATATACTTAATATAGCCAAAACTTTTACATCTTTTGATGAAATACTTTAATACTCAGAATATAAGGATATATTAATAGTGTAGACAAGATGACATGGTCAGCATGCACATGCATGCACGTGCGCGCGTGTGCAATTATTGAAATAACCAATACAATTGATATAGACTTAACTTGCACATTTTTTGTTGAATTGCATTGAAACTCAGAATATAAATATATATTATAAATGTAGACAAGACGACATTGTCAACATGCACATGCGCGTGCATGCAATGCTAAAATGACTAATATACTTGATATAGCTGTAACTTTTATACTTTTTGATGAAATGCTTTGATACTCAAAATATGTAGATATATTAATAGTGTTGACAAGATGACACGGTCATCATGGGCATGCATGCACGTGCGCGCGCTTGCAATGCGTAAAATGACAGATATACTTAATATAGCCGATTTTTTTTTGTATCTTTTGATGAAATTTGAATATAAAGATGTATTAAAAGTGTAGACAAGTTGACATGGTCATTTTGAACATGCATGCCCGTGCCCGTGCGGGCGCGTGTAATGCGTGATAAAACCAATATACTTGATTGTTTTATTTAATGAAGCTTACAGGGAATAAGACACCAAAAGGAAGTTGGGGAGCGTTTGGGGAACATCTGTAACGGTCCCCGTTACAATTAATACTAGTTTACTGAAACTTTGCATGTACACTGAAATCAGTGTATGCTACACTTGCTATAAAGTAAAGAGTTTCTTTATTTTAGTTTTTACACAATAAAACCACAGTCGGCTCCCTTAAGTGAATTTTATTATGCTTTCTATATTATATTTCTTCACTAAGGGCAGCTATGCTAGTTTGAGTTATTATGTATTAAATGTGCCTCAATTAACAGTATTGAATATCTTTGAAAAAAATTGTAATATATGTTCTTTAAGGTCTATAATTTTCTTCTATAATCATATAAGTTGAAACCCCTCTTACCTTCCTTTCCCTCAGAACATAAGAAGCTAGCAGCATTTAGAGATGTTTCTACAGAAAGTGTGCTTGGTGATTTACATGCGGTCCCGTATTCCTGCACACAGTTGCCTAACTGTTTTTGAATGCTGTGCCATTCAAGAAAATATATAAAATTAGAAATTCAGTACAATTTTCAACATCAATTGTTTACAATTTCAGATATTAAAAATTGATGTCAAACGGTATAACGTGAAAGAATATCGTATCTAGGTGGTAGTGAGAGCACACCATATACATGTACATTTAATGATGAAACGTTCAAGGGAATTTGATGATGATTTCAAATAAGTTAATTTTAAGAAACATAACATAATTTCAAACATGTATATTGATGAACTGAAATGAAAATATCACACTTGCCTACAAAATGTATGTACTGTTTTTTTAGTATCCAACGTCTTAATATCTGGTGATTTAAACATTTTTACGATTTCTTGTATAGAGAATTGGTTCATGCAATTCCGAATCCCAGTATTGTCACAATCTTGAGCAACTGTCCCTAAAAAAAACGAAATTAACTACACAAACAAGCAATTAATCACAAAGTGTGTGCATATAGCATGCTTAACAAACATCAAAAAATGGTTGTTAACTATAGGTGTCTTTGAAGAGTAAATATTTCCAACTTACAAGCAATAGTACTATGAATAATTATTTTACTTACTTGACACAATGGCAAGCGATACAAGAAGGACAAATACCAAGCTTACAGATTTCATGATTATAATCCAATAGGTATATTTAGCTTCAGTATATGTTCATGTTTATTTCACAATGGAAAAACCATATTTAAGTACGTTTCAAAAAAAAGTGGGTCCCATCAGCCATGTACTTCAAAACACTTGACTTTGCAGCTAGTGCAATTAAATTCAAAAATAACTGCTTAATTTAGTATCCCAGTTTATAATATCTTGAAGAACACATTGCTGAAATGAATGCAAAGGGTGTCCTTGATAATATTACTTACAGCTTTCTGCACAAAGCAGACAACACGAGGGCGGAGAGATAATACATACTCCATAGAATATACAAGTTTGCGAGTCATTATAAATCTGGGTTCAAATCAAGCCGCTTTTTACGCGGAAGGGGGGGGGGGGTATTTCAATGTTCTCATTAGGATCATGGGACATGTATCTGTATTCAACTTTTCAGCAAGCTCACTGAAAAACGAATGAGTATATTTCTTGCATGTTGTGACTTTGGTGAGGGCCCTCTCGTCAACAATTATTATTCATCATCAGACAATTTGTCCGATGTGAGATGAGATACATGCTCATGAGCTAAGAGAACTATAGTTTTATGTTCTCTTTGTTAACTGGCTTTGTCATTTGTAAGCCTTGTGCAATTTCCGCTGTAATGTAGTGTTCGGAAGGACGTGTCATTCTGTTGTGAATGCACTTATTACTTTAGAACCAGCGCACGTGGAAAGTCATTTGATTCAGATCTCCATCCGTACATAACAAAACAGAGTGATTGGAACTTAGTTAACGTGTGATAAATATCTACCTGTTTAATTAATACCAATAAAAATATAATCCAGGAACACTCATTTGATAAATATGAACTGATTAATGCAGTCACCCAGTCACAATTCCAGATTCGTTTTGGTTTGCTACATTCTTATAAAACAGAATTTCCGTACTTTTCATGCGTGGGTGCAGGGTTTTTCATCATCCATTGATCAATTCGTTATAATGGTATGCCTGTCTTCAATGCCAGTTGTGCACATGCAAACCAGTTTAGATTTATATATAGTATAAATCCAGGATTAATAGTATGACAACACCGAAACAAAAGAATCCGTGAGATTATTAATTTCGTATTGTGCTATGCCGAATAAAATAACATTGCAATAGTCTAAATGTGAAATAACTAATGATAGAACTAAAATTTCCGTAGCTTCCTTCGTTAAATATTTGCGGATGCTTTTGATCCTTAAATAATTTAACATTGCTGTTCGACATTTCCTATTTACATGTTCTTTGAAATTAAGATTTTCATCTAAAAATGCACCCAAATATCGTATACATTCTTCGGACTTTATTTCATTTTCATTAATGTTAATCACTTTTGTAGCACATTTTTCTAGTTGTTTTTTACTGCCAAATAGAATAAATTCTGTTTTTGATGCATTCATTTTTAGTTTATTAGCGTTCATCCAGTTGTTAATAATCTTTGCACAATCCTCAAGCTCGCGAATAGCCTCAATTTCGCTGTGTTTCGACGTTGGATTAAAGCGTGTAATTGCGGTATGGTCATCTGCAAAGCCGAAAACTGATATGGAAGGAGGAATGACATCAAATATAGTTCCTGCGTACGCCAGATATAACCAGGGTCCTAAGCAGCTACCTTGTGGAACGCTGCATTGCAGCTGACGCACAGATGATGAAATGGAATTTACACATACTTGGCAGCCACGAGGTCGCAAGTATGAATCTACCCATTTTAATGCCAAGCCACAGATTCCATATTGTTTTTGAAGTACTTTTATTAATATATCGTGGTCTACAGTATCGAATGCGGCGCTGAGATCGATTGCTATAAGAGTCGTTACGTCTTGTTTCTCCATAGAGTCAAGCAGGTCATTTACGAGTCTTAAAAGCGCAGATTCACAAGAATGGAAACGTCTGTATGCCGACTGATTTTTGGGGAGTAGATTGTTTTCATTAACATGCGAATTGAGTCTACAGAGAGCGGATTTTTCGATAAGTTTTGAAAGAAATGACAGGTATTGGCCTGTGTGTAAGTCTCTCTCACTGAATAGAGAAGTTCGTTGAATTCCATGTTTGTGTACATGCTCGTCATATCAGTTATTAATAATGCGTTTGTTGGTAGGCTCCTGATGATGGCGGATTTGCAGCTAATTAATAAACTATCAAAATCATAAGCCTCGTATATATCATACCACCAAAACACTAGATTAGTGTCGAGTCAAGTGATCTGAGGTACGTGGCTGATGGGAGCCACTTTCTTTGGAAAAAATTATTACTATTTTTTACTTACCTGACACAATGGCAAGCGATACAAGAAGGACAAATGCCATGCTTACAGATTTCATGATTATAATCCAAGTATGTTTAGCTTTAGTATATAGATAATGTTTATTTCACACTGGAAAAACCATATTAGAGTACGTGTGTAAAGAGAGATATGCATGGCTGCCTCCATACGTCAGAAGGTGTGTATTAGAAGACTAAACTGTCTCATTTACAATACTCATTATGCAAATTACTTGGTCAAGGTCTTGTAAAAAAAATTCTTTAAATGATATTACTCAGTAAAAATTTCCTGAAACTAAACATTTCGAAATTGAATTGATACACCTTAGTATTCAAAAAATTTACAAGTATTGTTTTCAATTTGCATTTTACACATTCCGTGTTTTAATTATTATTTTTTTTATTTTCTTTATCTCTTACAATAAAGAAACTGATTGTTTAAGTGTGATTTTGAGGTCTCAGTCACATCTATGTAACAAAATAAATTCTTTGCAATCCATGACAATCAATGCGTTTAAATTTCTCGATAATATTTACTACGTGCTACAATACATCAAGGTTTCATCATTATTTGCTTTGAAACTTATGCATTGTGATATCATGTTATTTATCCCCGGCTCAAGACGGGTATACAGACATTTACACCCGGTTGCTATCCAATCAAATATCGTGTTACAACCTAGATAGGAAATAGATTTTATTATATTCACTTATATTATATAACACTGGACTGATAAATTTTTGATCCAAGCCAGTTAACTGATTGCAAAAAGAATTAAAATACACTTAATTACCCTTAGCATCTAAGCCTTCTCTAACAAAAAATACTATAGTGAACTATAAATCAAAGTTTCAGAGATTTTACTATAGTTAATCAAAGTTCCAAAGTTTTTACTGTAGTAAATCAAAGTTCCAAAGTTTTCACTATCGTAAATCAAAGTTCCAAAGCTTTCACAATAGTTTATCAACTTATTAAAGTATTTTTTAATATTGTTTTTATTTTGCCGTTTTTAGGGGGTGGAGGTTGTTGTATGTCTTAATTTAAATTTACGAATTAGTTAACTGAAATGCAATATTTACATTTATAAACTGAAAAAAAAAATACATGTACAATACAATACTGAAGTTGTTGGAACAGGTATTTTTGTTTTAAATGACGCAATATTTATTTTATAGTATATTATTTTCCTTTCTCCATAAAGAGAACTTGCATTACACCTGCATTAAATTAAATACACCTAAATAAATGTTGCTTATCTATCGGCGCCAGAGACAATCTTACATTAAGTTCATTTCTTGTACATTAATTTCTATTAGGGAAAGGGTCGGTTTTATACAAAGTTCTCTGATGCTTTTATGAACATCTTAAAATGTCAAAAATGGGAATCAAAGACATAATTCGACGGTTTTACGATAGTAAATCAAAGTTCCAAAGTTTTCACTATAGTAAATCAAAGTTCCAAAGTTTTTACTTTGATACTATAGTTAACTATAGTAAACTATAGTTAACTATAGTATTTTTGTTAGGGTTTGACTCCTCTTGCATTTCTATATTACACTCATACAACAGTCTCATTTAAGGTCATCATTTCGTAAAATGTATGGTCGATACATTGATCTTGTCAGCAAGTACAATCTATCATTTAGTCAAATGCTGACTGATGTTTTTCATACTAGTTGTTAATCCATTATTTACACACTGAATTGTCGACGGACTTTCCCGTTATTTCCCGATCATTAGAAGCACAAGCGGATGCGACAGGTCGGAAGGGGATGCTCACTCTTCTATGGCACCTGATCCAACCTCTGATGTTTTAGAAGGTCCGTGTTTGCTTTGCCCCTAATTTTTATTGTTTGAATGGACTTTTGAGTTTGAATACTCGTTATCTCCATATATTTCATACATTGATTTCAGTTTTACGTAAAAGTCATATAATAAATGACACAGACAACACCTGATTTTTTTAAACATTAGTTATATGGTTTTCATTAGAAAAGGCAGATTTAAAAAACCCACTGATCGGAGGATTCATACTTATTTAAGAAAGCAAAACCTGTTTTAAACAAACATATTAGTTATAAAGATTAATTAATTTAAATACATTAAATTATCTTATTTAAATTCATTTCGAGTCTCGAGAATGTATATGTATGTCCTAGCATTATTTTTCCTTTAAACTGCTGCGACAACCCATTTAGAGTCGTCCATTATTTGAAGTAGCAATAACTGGAAGAAAATTATGCAATTACAATTAAGGTGATGTAAAAGATAAAGATAAGGAACAATGATCAATCTCATTTTATTTATTTCTTTTTTCAAATTATTTTACATAACATTCCAAAGCATCTTTACTCACCAAATTACCAAAATCCCATTTTCTCTTGACTGATTATTAGTAAGTAAATTGAAGAAGATTTGGTAGCCCCATCCCAAAGGAAATTCAGCTATCTCTTTAGTATCGCATATGTCTGGAGGGGGGGGGGGGGCATCAGTCACAATGGATGGATTTGCTGCATTTGCGTCAGAGTATTAATTTTTTTTTTTTTTTTTTTTTTTTTTTTTTTTTTTTTTTTAGATATTCCTACCAAACGCACAATTCTAAGTAGGCGTTATTAACTCAAAACAATCTTTTGAGAATATTTCTTTTCAGACCTTGAAAAGCAATTTATTTTACATATTTTAGTACCAAAAACACATAGCCATTCAACAAGGTACGCAAGTTTATTTCGGTCGAAGCTTAAGGAGATTGAAAATCAATAGTAGGGCCTAATCCACCCCTTTACTAAACTACATATAAAGAATTCAGAACACACATTTTAGAGAATCTGGTATATGCAGAAAGTTTACATATAGGTTTTCATTTCTTAAAAAAAAATCAGTCCCAGTCTAGGGAAAAAATGTCCGGTTCGGAAGGGGAGATTCAGGAATTATTTTGTGCCATGTTTTGACGTGAACTTTAACTAGAATACTGTTATGACAATTTATACTTTCTTTTGGGGATATTTTCCCAGTCTTCAAATAAACCAGTCCTAAGTTGGACTTTACGGAGGCCGATGGAGTAGATTTGAAACTCAGGTGACAAGTTTATTGAGTCAGGGGTCATTATGTTGGAAAAGTAGCTAATTTAATATTAGCTCATAATTTGTTACCCTGAGTTTTTCCCCTTCAGTTTAAAATTTGTATTTTCATTTCTGACTTTCAGATGCAAAAAAAAAAAAAAAAAAAAAATAAAGAATAATGTTGACCATTAACACAAAATATAGATCCCAACCATCCAATTGATCCAACTTCTGGAATTTTCAGGGGTCCGTATGTTATATCCTCTTCACATATTTGTACATGTATTGTTTATAAATTTTGTTTAGATCGATCACTCTTCGTTATCTTCGTCTCTTTTCATTTTAACCACTGCGCAAGTGTCTCTGTTAGTGGAGATTCTGTCCCCGAGAATACTTATCGCTAGGTATATGTTCTACTATGGATTTTGAAAAGACAAACGGTTCTACACTGGTGACACAGAGCACAGTATTTAAAAAGCTGTCGAACTGCAGAACCTATAAGGGGCACAGGTTCTGACAGAATAATTGGTGCCCTAGGCCTCGAATTCTCCTTCGAGACATTCACAATTTATCTTAAATACAATCAACAGATAAACAGATTTGGTATAAAAACAAACCAAACCTTTGCTAAAATTGAAGATTGCAAGGTTTTAATCAGATCTATTTCTGGCAATTCATTTTTAAACCCCATGTGTTCAATCTACAAATGTTCTATTAAAAATTGCAAAACCTGTGACATTTTGATAAATAATTCTTTTATAGCAACCTTACTGGAAAAAGTTTTATACTAAAATTGGTAAAAAAATTGATCTGTAAAACTTCAATAATGTCTATGGAATTGAATGTACTCTTTGCAAACAGGTTTATATTGGAGAAAAAAGGTTTTCTCAATAAGAGAATGTCTTGGCATAAGATTAAACTAAATAACAGGGGCCATCAACATCTTTATAAACATTTATTTTTGCCTAACACCTCTATTCTTTCAATGAGGGTAAACTTTAGAATTTTGGAAAAAAAATATATCATTCAATTAATAAATCAGAATAGATGCTGCAAACGTTAGTAACATTCTCAGCCATAGAAAAGCTTACTATTGCATTCCACTATATTTGAAGTTGAAGTCTATACCCTTCATTTCCTATATATATTCCAAAACTGTTGCTTCCAACCTTTTTAATTATAAACAAACCTTGAGGTGCCTCTTATATAAACAAAATCTTCTTAAACGTTCTTTCTCTTTCTATCTACTACAGCCCCGCTGGGCAAATCGTTGCTGATGATGTCAGTATAATTGAAAATGAAGACCTAAAATCAATCATCTTAAACGGTCCTAATTGCGATCATTCATTTGGCGACAGAACTTCATTTCTATTCTGAATTCTGTCAAAGATTATGCCAGACTTTCGGCCAAATTTGAAAAGAAAAATCTGAACACTTTATCAGAATGGATTAAGTGTTTTAGAAATATATAAAGAAAAAAGAATCGTATAAGAAATTTAAAAGGCAAAATGGAAACAATCTATCCTTCCATTTTCACTAAATCGGAGGTGGTAAAAGAATCACTAGTTTGTCTTCTGCAGTTGAAGTTCCTCCTAAGAAAAAATGTGCAATTTATTTCACGACTTATATTTACTTGAGATCATTATCTTCACAACTATTTTTACAGAACAATCCAAGCAAATAATGTTGGACTTTTTAATGTTAAATCTACTGTAATGAAATATCAGTTGTAAATGCCCATACGAAAGTTTGGATAAGTATGAAAAAGCAATTGTTTCCCAGAGTAGGAGAGGTTATGGTACTTGAACTTTCACCATGCTGGTCCATATAAACATTGCTGAGATATTTTCTTGGAGAATAACCTGCAATTAATAACATTAATGTTTTCTGATATTTCAACTGTTACTCATTTAGAAACAAAGGTAAAAATTGATTGATATGCAATATTTAGATCATAAGTTTTATATTACCCTGAAATCTAAATTTTAAGATATTCTTTATCCGGAAAGTTTGATTTTAATAACTGTTGATGATGAGATATTTTCACCTCTAAATTCTATCTTGCTTACACAATATCTTTTTGATATGAAGTTCAATGATGAACTTGTCAGTTTAACACTTAACAGAATTTTAAAAACATAGATGTTTTGAATACGAGAAATTCAAGTATGTGCATCAAATTTAAAATTTCGAAAAATCGCAAATATTTCAAATGTTGAAACTAAATGTTTGAAATAAATTTATTTTATGATAAAGATTGTGAAAATTTAGATTTAAAAATGTTTCGGATGAAGCTACAAAATTTAACAAAATTTTATCCATGTTTCGAAGCTAAAGTAATTGGAATTTGAGTTTAGATTTTAGACTTAGATTAAAGTTTTTAAATGTGGGATTTTGAACAAAAAATTAAAAATTCCAAAAGTCTAAAACAGAAGTTAAAGCAAGTATAACAGAAACCGTGGACCTACCATTTTCACATGTAATATTTGACATCAATGGTCGGATTTTTGCTTCAAAGTAAGCATTCGTGAATGCTCCTGCTTCCTCACCACACAATGTCCTGCTTTTCTCTTGAAAACAACTAAATGTCTCATTTGCTGCTCTAAAAAATTAATATTAAAAATATATAAAAATACTGAACATTTGAGAGCATAACTTACATGAATGTTTCACACTTATATATTCCTTCATGTAATGCATAAAATTATGCTTAGAATGCAATTTACAAATTAAGTACATGTATTACTTAAGTTTTTTTTTAAATGCTTGTTTTTTTTAAGAGGGGAAAGAACCATGTTAAATTGCATCTATTTTCAACGTACGAAAATATACCTGCATAGATTTTCAGAAACTTTGCTTGAAATGCCAGAACCACTTGCATCTGCCTCAATTATGTTTCTCGTTAGTTTTGCCATGTAAGTTTTTGTACAGAAATCAAGACCTTTGTTAAGGAGAAGGTCGTACATCACACACTGAAAGTTCTTTACGAAGCCTGTAAAAGACAAGTTAATCATTTTATTATTGTTCCATTAAAATGTACAGTTTCATTCAATTACTTTTTATTTTAAATTTCGGAAGCATAATTCAAACTCTTAAGGTACTTTTACACTTAAACATATACCTTGTCTTCCTACAGAACACAGGAAGTTTTCAGCAGAAAGCATGATATCTATGTCAAGAGAGATGCTGTTTGTAAAATGACATGTGGTCTTGATGTCTTCCAAGCAATGGCTGGGCTTCCTTATGATACTGTTCAATACAGAAAAAAAAGGCTTATTAACCACAGCACTTACTTGAGGAACATTTTTCTCTTTTACCCTTTCATAAGTTACCGAGCCAAGAATTTCCTTGACTACTCAAAAATCATATTCATTAATAATGGCAAATTCTTTCTAAGTCGATTTGAATACTCAAGAGCAACTTACAGCAAGCACAATTGTGGAATCAATTTGGGAATTTTTCCGGTAATAACTAATTATTTACAAGCTCTTGGGGGTATAATGTCATATTTCAGTATTCATTGAGGTTGTAAGACCTTGTGCAAGAGACATCCACGAAAACCACTCAAATATTGTACATCTAAGAAAAAATGATTTCATAATTTCTCCTCTTAGTATTAAATCAGCTTTAGTAGTATGCATTATCTCTATAGAATATTATGGAACGTACATAGAATCAACAACTTTTATCAAAATCTTCAAGAAAAATTGATCCAAATTCACATTAGTTTCATAACATTAAACAATAAAGACGAAAAACTTTCTTAAAGCATTCGCTTAAAGACGGCTTAAAGGTGGTTTAAAGAGGGACTAAAGAAATTGATTTCTATACTCCACCATTAAGGATGAGATTTACTCAAATGATAAAAAATTCCACTGATAACAACGAAAATCCAATTATTGTTCATTGTAGACCTAGACTGTAGTGTTTTTATTCACTTTCAAATAATTAGATATTTCTCTTCAAATAATAAAACCGTTCACGGTAGCTCAGTCGGTAGAGCGCTCGCTCCGTGATCGGGAGGTCGTGAGTTCGAATCTCGGCCGCGACAGACCTAAGTCGATAAATTAATAGGTAGCAACTGTTCCTTCGCCATGCGCTCGGCACTTTGGAGTGAAAAGTTGCGGGTCTTTCGGATGAGACCTTAAAAACCAAGGCCCCGTGTCACGGCAGGCGTTGGCACGATAAAGATCTCTCACTGCTCAATGGCCCTGAGTGCCGAGTAAAGGTCAAAATTTGAAGCCCTTCACCGGTATATGGTGACGTCTCTATATGAGTGAAAAATTCTCGAATGGGACGTAAAACAACATACAATCAATCAATCAATCAAATAATAAAATTTCAAATTTTCAAATGGATACTGAGTCGTAACATGAATATTTTGTCTATTTAGAACAATCTTTTGATCTAACGTATAGTACTTTATAGCATTGCATTTCTGCCAACTAAAACCCTGCGTAAACGTCATCCTTAAGCAACCTTTAAGCTGCAGCTAATAAGTGCTACATGTAAATGTCCAAACTGTTTTAAGCCACCATTAAGTAACCTTTAAGCTCTAGCATATAGGTGCTTAATGTCCCAACTTCTTTAAGCCATTTTTAAGTAATTTTTAAGCCACTTTTAAGTAATCTTTAAGCCAACTTTACGCAACTCTTTAACCAGTCTTTAAACTACAGTGTATTAAGTTAAAATTATCTTTAAGTATCATTTACGCTAGTAAAATCTTACTCAATTCATAATGCTGACTATCTAATTTTAATTCTAAGTTCTGTCAATGCGTATAAACATAAACACTTAGAACTGCTCCTGCAAGTAATCTTAAAAATTTCGCTACCAAAAAATCTTTGTTTAAATACTTGTTTTAAATTATTTTTATCCTAAACACATACCTTATAATTCAACGAAAAGAAAAAAAAAAACACGTTATAATTTTCTTTCGTGTGTGGAGAGTCATGTTCCGCTGCTGAATTCATAAGAAGTATTATACGATAGAGTTCTTTTGTTCTTAAATTAAAAGAAGATTTTGAATATTCCGTAAATCGAATAAATCGAACTTAGATATTAAATTACACGCACTTTGTTTTGATATAAACGCATATTGTTATCATTTTTTTTTAATTAAAGACGACCTTTAATCCATCATTAAGGACCTTTAAGCCGTCTCTAAATTATTTGAAATTAAAAGCGTATTACGTTCCTTATGGCCACAATTTATAAATTCTGTGTTTTTACTGTGGATAAATCGCGGTAATTAACCAATTATTGACTCAAATGAAAACCCCTGGATTAAAAATCTAAGTTAATTAGATAGCTATCACGTGACCCTGTGACGTCAAAGGCGACAATGGCTGATCAGCTCTTCATTAATCTTACTAAAATATACGCGATACAACCTGAATTTTCTGCGTTGTGAATGACCAAATCACTTATTTTGTCGATATAAAATTGAATATTCAACCTTATATGTTAGAATTGTAAGCAAGAAAAAATCTGAAAAATCTAACATTGTAAAAATAGCAGCGACGATAGCGAGGGAGACGCAGCGAAGACGAAGAAACTCGCCATAACAATGCAATTTGATTTGTCATCTTATCACATGTATTATTTGATTCACAAATTAAACATTATATAACTTTGTTATTCTTCGTTTTGTATATAATATTAATTTATGCAAGTCTTCATATGTTTTTTAAAGGATGGCGATCTTGAAAAATAATTTCCCGATCACGAAACATTGCCGTAATTAGAGCTACAGCTAGGTTCTAAATGTTTTGAATAAAAAACGAAAATATCTTAAAAGCCTTATACCTTAGAACTAATTAATGTTTCTATGATAATTGAAAATCATATAAGGAATTAATTTTTTCAGCATTTTTCGTAATTTAGCTGCATTTGTCATTGATAACTCCGTTAATAGTGTGCATATTCTCATCTCTCTATCACCGAATTGTCGCCTATGACGTCAGAGCAGTATTTCGCCGAAATCCGACTGAAATATGCATATTGCCGTATTTGAATTTCAACTCTTAATATCTCTTAAAATATGCTTTCAACAACGATTATTGTATTCAGCATTTTGATGAATAAGGTTATAGATAATATTTTTCATAAAATTACGATTTTTGAAAGATCATGCGATAAGTCCTTTAAAGGAAGTTTTTCTTGTGCAAATGCTGCAGCTGTTCTGAGTATTCTCTTAATATTCAAAATATTTCCTTTCTGTAGCTTTGCTAGCATGAATACTAAAGGCCGTAAGTACATACAGCAATGTAACTAGTAACTAATACGCTTGTTTTTATGCGACAAGCATCAAGAAGATGTTTAGTTACAATGAGAACAAATCAACATGATTCATGAAACAGTTTAACTCCATGTTATATACACAGAGACATTTCATTGGTCAGAAAGTTTCATTCTTGAGTTCAAGTTTTCTCAGGATGCCCATACTTTAAATTTATTTCATATTCAAAACTATTTGAAAGTTTTATCCCTTTATCAGAGACTTAAAAATATGTAATAAATAAGGTTTTTACCTGCAATATTCATCAACAGTCTCTTGAGCATTTAAAATCTTTGAATTGTTCATTAATCTTATTTCCTTTATGAAATCTGGTAGAGATGACTGTATTAGGCAGTTAGAAAATCCGTCTTTGTTACATCCATGCACATGTAGTAGCGTCTCTAAAATGAAAATATCCTTGTTCTTTCTGAATACTTAAGTCAATGAGATTACTTCTTGATTAATTTTAAAAGTATCTTAAACTTCAGAATGAATAACATGTCAAATGAAGTGTTCACATTACATGAATATGCTGAATATTGATTGTGTTTCTTTTATTTTGTAAAGAAGTTCACTCTCCTGATACACAGAACAGTGATGTAATTTAAGCAAAAGTTACCACTGCTCAACTTTTGAATTGAAGAAGATAACATCAAATGTGTAATGATATTTCAGACTAATTTGAAATAACTATCATTCTGCATGGTTCTTCAAGGGTCGTCGTTTAACTTGGCGACCCCGTGCCAGTTAAATTCCTTAGTTTCACAGTTAAAAAATTAGCGCCATAGTTCCGCTAAGTAAAAAATTAGCGGCTCAGTAAGATCGTCGTCTATCATGAAGATTAAATTTTATGTATAAATTTATAAACTCAAACATGAACTGAACCTCCATATTATGTACTGTTTTTTAATGCTTAACCGTTATTTAGTCCCATTAGAGACAATGTTGGGCTTGCACATTCAATTATCTGCTAGGCCTCGCTGGACTTTACGCATGAATGAAAAGAGACAACCTTTTTCACACTCCCCGGTAATTGCAAATGATTTTTAATGCTAATTTTAAAACTACTTAGCTTTACTAAAGATAACCACGTCTCTAAAATTGCATTGGCACTGTAAGTCAAACATCGTACGTGTATCGTAATCATGTATTGCTGTAAAGTTGAAAAATGAACGATAATCCATCAAAGCAGCATTTTATGACTTCAAACAGCTAATTTAAATTTGCATTGATACTGTAGTCAACCGAAACCAATATTGCAAATATATCTGGCTGATGAAAGCTTGATTGTGCTAGAAATTCCTCTGTCCTGACACTGTAAGTGTATAATTTACATTTTGTAAAAAAAAAAAATATCTTTTGAAAAAATCAGATTAAACACTTAAAACTTGTTATTACTGGTACTAATATTTTCAGATTTTTATAAGCTTATTATTTTTTGTTTTTTTAAGTACGTTGTGTTGTGTTGGCTGGGGGCGGGGTGTCAAAGAAAACTTGTATAACGGAAACGTTCTTGTTTCTCTTTTACACTATGTTAAATTTGATATCCATTAATTGATTTTAATTATCGTTTGATTTAAATCCCAATTTGCCAAATATTTAATACAACTTGTGTATTACAATAGTGATTCAGAAAAGTTGTGTTTTTCAATTTATTCATTGTAACTTCCCGAATTCAGTCGCTAAAAGACCGCGAATATTAGCATTTCGCATACGTCTTGCGCCACAGTTAAATTTGAAATGTTGAGAATTCGAACCCTGATTCTGAAGTTTGACATCACTCGTTATAAGGGATTTCAATTCAATATACATAATTTTGTCTTTCTCTATTAGAAGATTTAGTGAATTATTTATTTTTTAGCGAAATTATGTATTCGCGATTGATTTTTGTACATGTAAGTAAAAAAAGGTAACAAAAAACAAATTCATGAATGAGATTTGGATTTTTTTTTCAATGGTGAGAAAATATGAATCCCTCTTAAATGAGTAGACATAAAATATCTAAAAACACATATGACGTTCTTTTGTCTTTTTTTCAAGCCACAGATAGCTTAATTTAAAAATATACATACTATTTTCACACGATATGTCCTTCATCAATGGCTGAATCGCAGCTTCCGTTTTTGTTCGCATAACCTTGCTTGCTTCGTCACTGCATACTCTTTTTCCTTCTTCTTCCATACAAGTTACAATTTTATTTGCTGCTCTAAACGGTTATATATAGTTTTATAGTTTTAAATTTGATATAACTTTAAAAAAATGTATACACTAACACGTTTGAGAGAAAAATATTACCTATTAAAGATTTTGATCATTAGTAATCAATAATTGATTGTTCATATTCCCATTGAAGGTCATGATACTTTAGGATAATATTTGAATACATAACTGAAGCAAAATTGAAAGTATGTTTTCATAATCATTACAACTTTTACAAAAGCTGTGTAAGACTTCTTATTTTTCTATCATGTGATATATAATTGTACATAAAATTTACCTGCATATTTTGCCATAATTATTATTACCACTTCTTTGGGCCTCTATGAAAGAATCGAATAAATCCAACATATCTTTTTGGCAACTCTTAAAACTCGTTTCATTTTGGATATGATCGAGAATCACACATTGAAAATGATCAATGAAATCTGCAAAAGAATTTTTTAAAGCTGACCTATATTCAGATATGTAAAAGGTCAAATATATAAATCAAAGAAAGCTATAATGTTTTTGAGATTAGCGTATTAGCAGTGTTAGAAGTGACAAATCTGTATTGCAATATTTTTTCCGTACTATGTGTCAAGCACAATGTCACTATTTATGAACCATAGTACCTCGTTTTCCCTCTGAACACAGGTAGTTTATCAGAGAAAGCGCCATGTCTATTGATAAAGTGATTCTGTTTGTAGATAAACATGTTGTTTTGACGTCCTGTAGACATGATGTTAAGCCCTTTGTTATGCTTTCCAAGAAAAGAAAAAAAAAAAAAAATTAAAAATTTAATATTTGGTGCATTTAAAATTTTCATATTAAAATCACTTTAGGGTGCAAATGATTACTTTGTAATAAACATTGAATTAAAAATCATATAGGCTACATTCCCTACTATTCATTTAAAGAGTAGTAAAAGAAAACGATATGGATTTTTTTTTATATGAAGCACCTTTCCATTTAAATACATGTAGAACGATCCAGAGAACGTCATTAACTATTTGTACATGTATTAAGGATTTTGTATCAAACTAAATCAGCACATGAACTAACAGTTGGTAACTTACCTACAATATTCCTCTACAGTATCCTGAGCTTTCAGTATCCTTAAAATGTTTGGTGAGTTAATCTTGTGTGTATAATTTAGTAGTGATGGTTGCATAAAGCAATTAATGATCTCCGTATGGGTACATCCTTTAGCAAAGGTCCCTAAAACAAATGCTTCAATTATTTCTGGTAAATTCATACCCTCATCTATTAAATACAGTACCTAGGATAGAGGCAATAAATCGTGAAGAGACGTCCGATTTGTTGTGTCAGTTTTGCACGTTTTACAAATTAGGATTATTTCGCTATAAATAAATGAGTTAAAACTTGTCTCACTTACCTAGTATACTAAGAAGTGTAACTAGTAGGAGGTAGACCATTCTTACTAATTTTAATTCATGATGACATTAATTTTATTCTCAATATTTTATATCAGATGATCATTTCTTCATGGAAAATCCAAAAGGGTTTTTTACGCATGCATACTCTTTCTATGCGTCAGTTATTTGCATATTTTTTTTTCACTGGAGGCAGTAAATGCAATTAAGTTAAGAAGCTAAGTCAATTTTTAAGCATGTATTTTTTTTTTTTGTTAACAAGTATATTTAATTTGCCTTTGTAATTTGAATGCAGCTTGCTTAAGAATTGTATTTTAGGTAATTCTAAACATGGACATAGACTATAGATCTCGAATTATATAAATTTACTTGGACCCTTGTTTAAGTTTTTAGACTTCGATGAAAACTTTATATTAAGGAATACATGTAGTAACATGGAATGTTTAAAACTACGAAAAAGAATTTTTCCATGAATAAGATGTGTACACCTCGAAACATGCCACGATCTATGATCCGTTTGCAAACATGAAAAAATGATAAATTTTCAGAACTATAGTGTTCCAAGGAACACGTTTGTCACCTCCTTCGTGGCATCATTAAAGATAGCAATAAATCGAAGGGTGGTCAGTTATTTATTGCCAACTAGCATATCGATCATTATTTATAACAGCAAAGAAAAAATCCACAAATATTCAGACCGATTAAATGTAGCATTTATCATATAAAATCTGACATTCACGTAGAAATGTGATTCCCTAGCTTTCAAAGCTAGAGTGAATAATGAAATTGAAATAAAATATTACAATTTTTTTTCATTTTGAAACATATTTACAAGATTAAATTTCTTTTTGTCCGAGATTAAACTACAAATAGTAAAATAGCTTGATTTCTTCATAAAGTTATTGTTTCAACCATAGGGGTGGTTAAAAAATTGACGGAGAGAGAGAGAGAAGTTGGAGGGGCTTTGACTGAGCTTGTGAATTTGCGGAAACGTGGTACATGTAATATAAAGAATAACTGTCCATTTTTTTGGTTTTATGATGTGATCATGCAATGGTTTGCTTGAGCAATTTAAAATATTACCTCTAGGAAGATCGCAAATTGCTATATAGAACTCAGTAGGAAAGATAATGCAGAAGATAGTTCATTCTTGTTGATTTCATATTTATATTAAAGGTGCTTAGACACAGATTTGAACTTAATATTTTCTCAAATTTTCTGTATAATATCACGACTTATATATTGCAATAGCATTTCACACGAAAATATAATAAAAAAACTTATTTTATCTGGAAATTATTGGAACTACGAATTCCGGGACGCGTTTGATTAACACATCTTTGCACTTACACAAATTTTAACATTATCCTTAATATTTAAGAAAAGAAGCGATTTTGTTATGTAAAAATGAAAAATATTACATCTAAAATCCAGAAAATTCAGAGTAGAAATGTTCGAAAGCAAAACCAAATCACCAGTATTGTCAGTACGTGCTCTGTGATGTGTATAGAATTTAACAAATTAAACACATCCGTGAAACGTAAACTGTTTTTGTAAACAGGGCACGAGCTCTGTTATTATTAATGTTTACGATTCACCGGGTGTGTTCAATTGTTAAACTCTGCACACACCACTGAGCACGGACTTACAATACTGTGAGTGAGTTTTGCTTTCGAACATTTCCACTCTGAATTTACTGGGTTATAGTTTTAATATTTTTCATTAATACACAACAAAATTGCCACTTTTCTTCAGTATTAAGAATAAAATTAAAATATGTGAAAGCGCAAGGATGTGTCAATCAAACGCGTCCAGAAATTCGAAGTTTTAATAACTTCGAGATGAAATAAGATTTTTATTGTATTTTAGTATGAAATGCTATGGCAACATATAAGTCACGAAATTATACCGACAATTTGAGAAAATATTAACTTCAATTCTGTGTCCAAGCACCTTTAAATAGAACAACACCTATTCTAATTTTAATATAAATCAGGTAATCATCCTTAAATGGAGAATCCAAAGGGAATTTTTAGATATGCGTGCTGATTCTATGTGTCATATATTTGCATATATGAATTCTTCATGTTGTTTTTCTCAAGTATAAATATACAAGGGTTGTTCGGAAGTTATTGAGACATTGTGTATATTCTTTCAAATGAACATAGTTTGGTGAAAATTGGCATTTGCGTTAAACTTACAAAAATAAATAAATAAATAGATCAATTAATTAATTAATTAATACATAAAGGCAAGAAATGAAATATTTCAGAAATATTTTTATTTCTTGTTATGGTATATCAATGAATTGATGATATGGTAACCCGGCGCAGTCAAGAAATCGGATAATGACAATTAGTATATTACTACGTAAATAGTTCAGGTTGGACAAGTGGGAAAATTATATAAATTATGTTTGTAATTTTTAAGATTTTTTTTTTTGGTCTTTGTTTTATGCAGGTTTGATAGAATTTGGACAAGAAATACAGAGATAGAAATCAGATAACGACAGCAAAATGAATTGATGTCAAGGCGGAGCAATGAGCATATCTGGCATTTTGTGTCATTTTCATTTTCAATTCAGTCTTCAAAGTAAAATTAAAATACTGTTTAAAGAGTACACAAAATGATAAACATACTACACAAAACTGTAAATGAGCAAAGTTTAAAAGGAAAAAAACAAAACAAAACAAAAACAAAAACAAAATTAAGGCAAATGAAAATTTAATCATTCTGGTAATAACAGAGGTGAATCATTTATTCAGAACATTACCGATAAAAAGAATAAATAATCTTAAACGGACAATTAATAAAAACACTGTAATAAAAATATTATTAAAGCAATTGAACATTTAAACTTATGGATTTCTCTTCAATTTTGCAAGGTTTAAACGTCATAATCCATTTGTGACTGGTCTAGGAAGGCTATAGAGGATATGACATTTACAGTAATCCTCAGGACAGTGTCCTGCTTTACATGTGTTTAAACACCAGGAAGCAGCGTCATCTTTGGCGCCAAATTTTGACAAGACTGGCTCACACACAAGAACCTGTGTTGGAATTTGGCAGTCACAGGTACAGAGGTTCTCGGGACAGTTACCAAGCTTACAGTTGGTTTCACACCAGCCATCCATCTCCTTTTTTGTGCTCTCCAGGACGGGTGTGGCAGAGCTTTGAGGATATTTATAACAATATTTTATACAGGTTTTTCCAACGATGTGCACATTCTGTGAAGTGGGATATTCATTTGGTGAATGACCTGTGATGGAGAATCATAAAAAATTATTGAATAGGAATAAATATAGGAATAATCTATACCATTCTCTCTCTCTCTCTCTCTCTCCATATATATATATATATATATATATATATATATATATATATATATATATATATATATATATATATATATATATATATATATATATATATATATGTCAAATGTTGTCCGAGATGTCAAATGTTCAGATGTACAAATTTGTATGAAGTGTACTCACTGTGGTTACACTGTACGTCTTTCAGTAATGGTTGAAGGGTTGCTTCGAGATAATGATGGACAAATTGACCTGCAGATTCCCCACATGATATCTTAGTTTTCTCCTCAATGCAAGTTATTGCTTCTTTTGATGTCCTGCAAGATAAAACAAGCCCCATAAAACTCTGTAAAATAGCCGTAATTATCGAAGCATCGAAGCAAAATGAAATACATGTCATTCTTTTTTACAAATTTGAAATTTAATCTTTATCGTGTTTCAAATGAAGAAAAATTCTTAATCAAATGTCTGAAAATAGTATTTTACAGTTATCCCTAAAACAGCCCCATAAATACATACATTGCTTTAGCAACAGAAACTAAAAAATGCATTAATCCAAAGCAGACATTAAAACTACGACATCGTATATTTTCAGGTATGAACCTTTACCTGCATTTTTCACTGGAAAGATTCCGACCATTGTCCTTGGCCTTGCTTACATTTTTGGACAGCTCCATCATATCATTCATACAAGTCAATGTGCTGGTTTGAAACGCATCAGTCATCAAGCAGTGGAAATGATTAATGAAACCTGTACCGTTGTGAAAATACAAATTCTATGTTTATTTTACCTTTCTTGATATTATTTGTTTTTTATTGTGCAAGATGGTAATTTTTTTATTAGTTGCAGTTTTTATATTTGTAAGGTAATTACAATCATTTTTGACTCATTAAAAATTAAAGAATGCTACATTGTTTTACCTTGTTTACCATCTGTGCACAGAAAATTTCCAGCTGATATGATGGTGTCTAATGACAGAGTGTCGTCGGAAGGACAATTAGTTCTGTAGTCTTGCATGCATAAATCGAGTTTTGTTTGAGCACTAAAAGAACAAATTTACGGCATTTAGTCGTTTCAAAGATAAATTTCGAGAGAAGAATTTGAAAGAAATAATGTTTTTCAAACGGTTCTGAATACAGTTTATGTATCAAAAAGTGTGCAAGTCTTCAATATATTCATTTTTACAATTTCTTGAAGAGAAAAAAAAACAAAAAAAAAACGATCCATTTCCTTTAAGCTCCTTTCTATCAGACCTCAGTTAAAAAAAATCCAACTACACAAAAAGTGGACTTACCTACAATATTCCTCAGTTGCATATTGGGCATTCAAAGTCTTCAAGAATTCAGGTGTTCTAAACCTGTTCATGATTTCTGGCACAGATGACTCACTCCAGCATTTTAAAACACCATTAATGTCACACTGTTGTACAGTGGTTCCTAGTAAAAATATATTTCGCGATTAATCCAAAATGCTATTCAATTTTTTTTCCTAAGGATCGAGGCCCTTAAAGTTTCTATTAATTCATTTAATTTTAAACACAGGAATTGGCAAAGCTTCTTTAATTTCATTGTGTAATAAAAGTAAAAAATATAGCTTTATCTTGTTGATAAAATTTAGGAGTTGCTCTGTTTCTTAGAACATCTGTTACTTGACCGTGGTTCTCTGCTTACCTGCTATAACGACAGACAACACCAGTATAGGTAGCTGCTTCATATTTGGTGAATACTTCATTTCTATTTCTGTCTTATTATTGTCTCAAATATAATAGTAAGAAAACCATCCCCTCAGAAGTGAGGTAATTGTTTTAAAAACACTCTTATTAACCTGTTTACGTCAGAATACGTGCAGCACAGGAAGTTGACCTATCATCTTAAGATATTGTTTCACGGTACAAAAGAAATGACGCATTTCACCTTGAAAACAAATATAGTTTTTTTTATTGGTCAATTTAAGGCGGGGGAGATGTACTGAGGATTTCCGGATTGTTAGAGAGGAAGCAACTAATATATTGGGAGTAAATAAATAAATAAAAGAAATGAATATGAAAATGACAGTGGTACGGTAAGGAGGATAACCATTACTGTTGGAAACAAATGTCATTCCAGAAGAAATGAACTGGAGCGGATAAAGAAATGAAACATTTTCTTGCTGAAACGTCGTATCTCATTTATTCCTTAAAGCTTTTTACATCTTCTAAGCATTATATCATGATTTAAAAGCAAAACAAAACAAAAACTATATTTTAAAAAGACATATACATCAACATGAATATAAATATGAATATCTGCATTTCCTAGGATGTCTGCAGGTTAAAACATCTCTAAAACAGGCAATATTGAGAGACTAGAAACTTTACTCATTAAAAAGTACAGTTAATCTTCGGTATCTCGAAACTGATATATCTCGAATACCATGGATAATTCGAAATGATTTGGAAGCCCCTACTTATTCTTTAAGTATTTTACCCTCGATATCTCGAATCCTCGGACATCTCAATTTTTTTTCCCGGTCCATTGAGTTCGAGATAGTGAGGTTTAACTGTAGATGGACATGGTTAGGCAAATATGAGGTGAAAAACTAAAATTCAATTCTAACAAAATTTCTTTGATATTTCATCTAACATTAAAGTATACTTTACGTAAAATCTCCACAATGTGCAAAAATCTCACAAAGATTGAAATCATTTGCCTACAATTTAGTATACACACACCAAAGAGGGCAAACAGGGTGATTTTCTCATATTTTAACACAATTTTCCATGTGAGTGGGTCTTTTCTCCATTTTTTTGAACGTTTATCCTCAAAGGTTGCGTAAAAATGTACATTTTCGGTTAACAAAAATACGGAGCAAAGACCCATAATACCTTAAAAATTTACTTTGTATGACACAACATTCGCATCTTTCCGAGAAATACTTTAGAAGTCTATTTAGTCAAGGGTCATATCACAAACATGATTTAAATGCCAATACTCATAAGGAGGTGTGTAGCATACTGGTTATCGTGTTAATCTCAAAGGAAAATTATACTCAGTATTTTTATTGCTAGGGTTCGAACCCCTAGAATATCACATTATTTTTAGCTCACCTCAATGAAGTCGGGGGAGCTTAATATGCAAAACCCTCGGCGTCGGTGTCAGCTTCGGCGTCCCAGATTAAAGTTTTTTGAGCAGATATCTTTTCAAGTACTTCTATGCCCTATATTAATCGGAGATACATGGAAGAGGCTTCTAGTGTGTTTCATTGTACCAGTCAAGGTTTCAGATGCTGCAATTTCAGCTAAAGAATGACAAGGTTAATGTTTTTGGAGCAGGTTAAAGTTTTTGGAGCAGGTCTCGTTTCAAAGTAAATATAAGGCCTATGTTTACCAAACTTGCATGGATGATACATCTAAGGATGCACACTACCAGACTTGCTTTGGATGTTGGATCTGACCTACATTTTCCGGATGAGTGATCAGGTAAACATTTTTGGAGCAGACCTCATTTCCAAGTAACTATAAGCCCTATATTGACCAAACTTGCATGGATGATACTTCTAAGGATGCAAACTACTTGACTTGCTTTGGATGCTGGATCTGACCTACATTTCCGGATGAGTGACCAGATGAAAGATTTTGGTGCAGATCTCATTTCTTATTAACTATAAGCCCCATATTGACCAAACTTGCATGGATGATACATCTAAGGATGCGCACTACTGGATTTGCTTCGGATGCTGTATCTAACCTACATTTTCCAGATGAGTGACCAGGTTAAAGGTTTTGGTTCAGGTCCATTGCCAAGAAACTATAAGGCCTATCTGAACCAAACTTGCATGGATGCTGCATTAGTTACCAACACTCTTAAACTTGCTTCAGATGCTGGATTTGACTAACATTTTCTGGATGAGTTACTAGTTTTAAGTTTTTAGATAAGTACATTCCCAAGTAACTGCAAGCCATATAAGATCAAAATTGCATAATATTGCATCTAGGATTGCACACTAGTAGATTATTAGTTTAGTTGGGAATTTGCCTTACTTAAAGACAACATTCGTTGAGGTGAGCTCTGTCATCTCTGATTACCTATGTTTTAATAATAGAAAAAAAAATTTGCAGAGAAAATTTTCCTTAGAAATTTTTTGTTTGTCAAATTTTCATAAATTTTAACAATGAAAATTTTACTCTAAATACTTAATTCACAAAATGAATATGATTTTTAATATATCTGAAGCTACCCTAACAAAAAAATACTATAGTATAGTTAACTATAGTTTACTATAGTTAACTATAGTAAATCAAAGTGTCAAAGTTATCACTATAGTAAATCAAAGTTTTCAAAGTGATCGCTATAGTGTCATAGTGATCACTATAGTAAATCAAAGTTTTCAAAGTGATCACTATAGTGTCAAAGTTATCACTATAGTAAATCAACGTTTTCAAAGTTATCATCATAGTAAATCAACGTTTTAACCATAGTAAATCAAAGTTTTCATAGTGATCACTATAATAAATCAAAGTTTTCATATTTAAACACTTTAGTAAATCAAAGTGTCAAAGTTATCACTATAGTAAATCAAAGTTTTCATAGTGTCAAAGTTATCACTATAGTTAACTATAGTAAACTATAGTTAACTATAGTATTTTTTGTTAGGGTATACGCATACTGCAAGCCTTATTCGCCCATCTCCTTTTTGAAACTAATTTAAAAAGTTCTCTTTTGAAATAGGTCGCTGTTTTCATATATTGTTCGTCTTTATTTGTCTATCTCCTTGCAATTCTTTAGTAGCGAAGGGTACAACCTTTCAAAATGTTTCTAAATACTCTTTTCCTGAACTTAAAAAAACCAAAACATTTCTTTGTTTATTATCTTGTCTGCAGATAAACAAAGTAATAGACACATATAAAAGCATTCGTCGTCTTTATTTGGAGGCAAAGGCAGAGAAGAAGAAATTATTTGGAAGAACAGTTATTCGACATTATTTTTCCAAGGCCTTTAAACAAAAAAAAAATCCCATTTAACTTTGACCGTTAATTTGAAATGATCTAAGGACGTCTCTATATGAGTGAAAAATTCTCGAATGGGACGTTAAACAACATACAATCAATCAATGAAATGATCTAAACCTTTACTTTTTAGCTCACCTGAGCCAAAGGCTCAAGTGAGCTTTTATGATCAAAATTTGTCCGTTGTCTGTCGTTGTCGTGGTCGTTGGCGTTGTCGTTGTAAACTTTTCACATTTTCATCTTCTTCTCCAGAACTACTAGACGAATTTTAACCAAACTTGGCACAGGGTATCCTTGGGTTAAGGGGATTCAAATTTGCTCAAATGAAGGGACACGCCCTCCTCCAAGAGGAGATAATTACGAAATAGCGAAAAATTATAGCATCATTGAAAAATCTTCTTCTCAAGAACCAATGGGCCAGGAAAGATGAAACTCATGTGGAATCATTGTCAGGTGGTGTAGGTTCAAGTTAGTTCAAATCATGACCCCCGGGGGTAGGGTGGGGCCACAATGGATGATCAAAGTTTACACAGGAGATATGGAAGCATCCTCAGATAGCGTAGGTTCAAGTTTGTTCAAATCATGACCCCTTGGGGGTAGGTAGGGGCCACAATGAAAGTTCAAACTTGTAGGGAAAAAAGGTCACATTTAAAAAAAATATCTAAGCATCCTTCGTTATTGTAGATTCAATTGTGTTCAAATCATACCCTCCCCCTCTTCTTAGGGGTAGGTCGGGACCACTTTTGCATTTAAGCTTTTCAATACTAAACTGATTTTTGCTTTTTTCCTAGCCACATGCTCAGGTGAGCGATGTGGCCTCTGGGACTCTTGTTTATATATGCATTTGAAATTTCTGGAACACAATGATCAAAATTCTACTTTTTTGCTGCCACCCTCATAAATCTATACAACTTTTCATCACTTGTGAAGTCATAATTGTGAAACTTAGAATGAAAATTTAAATATAAGCGGAGAAATTATGCATTTACTTATATCAACAAGGCTTCAGTTGTTATTTTCATGAGTTTGAAAAAAAAAAAAAAATGTCCCAAGGTAGTTTTGAATTCTGCAGGTTCATATCCAAAGGGAAGACCTTATCTGTATACCATATCATATTTCTCTAACTGCAATCGGCCAGGACCTCAACAAATGTAAATAAAAAAAAGGCAAGGTTTGCACCATTTAATCAAATAACAAACAACTGTTGCTGGTTTTCATTTAAGTCATTACGATGAGCAACCCGCGAAGTACAATATTCATCTCGCCCTTCATTTAATTAATTTTTTTAATGTATTTTTTTTTAAAAATTTTTTTAACCTACCGTATAGCGGGTAATTTTAGCGGGGTGCTAATTTTGGTTTATTTTAGCGTTTTGGTAGTAGCCCAGTAAAATTTTAATCTCGAAAATATTCAGTATTCTTCTAAGTGTTCTTTTGAAAAGTGTTTGAGCCCTGTGTCCGCTACATTAATAACGCCAAAATTTTTGGCATGCTTTTGAGCAAGCAAAACGCTAAATTTTACCCCCGCCAAGAAAACCCGCTATAGGGTATTCATTTTTCGTGTATCTAAGACTAGAAATGGAACCTCGATTGTCTTAGTATGAGCCAATTCATGTTATCAATACTATAATTAGCTCAAAAGTTTTACAGAATTCGGAGAATTTTTCTAGTTCTGAGCAAAATCTTTATAGTGAACATTTATTACTTAAAATTATTTAAAACATTCGCCATAAAATGCCTTTTTATTACTGTGAGAACTGCATTAAACAAGGACTGCATAACTGAACATCCTGAATACGTTCTATAAAACTGAGTTTGTTCTCCGATACGAAAGCAAAATATTGTCTGAACCTTTGGATCGGCGTTTGAAATCTTCTATGTCAGTGATAAAATTACGAATCTTGCTCTCCAAAGATCCGTCGCCTTTTGCCCAAGCGGCCATTTTTAACTTTCTTTCCTCTTTTTCTTTGTCGGGTTTACCGAATTTCTCTTCGTGTTGAATTTTGCTCATTTCCTCTAACTCCCGCCTAGATTTTGTCTCCTTCATTTTCCGCGTATTAACACCAAACACTACCACAGGATGAATATCCACTGCCTCTAGAACCTCGCCATCTTTTAGCTGTCTTAATTTGGATGTCATAGGACGTCTCGTCCTACCACCAGATCTCTTTAAATCTCGAATGTTTCTCGCACGATCTCGTATGTTGGATGGTGCTGCAGACTGGGTTTGTCGAATGTTTGAAATAGACATGGACTGACGATGAAGGTCATCAGAAGGAGAATTGTTCTGTTTATTAGAGTTAAATCTTCTAAATGATAACTTGAACATGGCCACATTAACAGGTCTAAGTTTAATTTCATCCTCAGATGCTTCGTTGGAATTATTTGCGTCTGTAGTATTTTCTTCCTTCTCTGTTGACACTCTACTCTGATTGGAGTCTAGATTTTCATTTTTTGATTTAGATATCTCATTTTTATTAATATCCGTCTCCTCTTTCTCTGAAATAGTTTCTCTCATTACAGCTGAAGTTCCACGAGATTTAGAAAAGGATCCAGATTTACTGCTAGACTCGTACAACTTGACACTGTTCGGTCGGTCTTTCTTTTTGATGGCTTTACTTAATTGTTGTATTTCCTCAGCCTGACGCCGGGCCTCCATCAGACTATAATCACTGTCAATCGTGGCCTTGTACTTTGCCTTATGGATCTGGTGAATCCTACTTTCCAGTTGAGAGTCCAGCTGGTCATTCTCCAGGTAAGTCTCACTCCAGTCTATTCCGGACTTTTTGAAGTCCATGTCTGAAGCAGACCTGGTTAATGTGGGGGCTGACATTGGTGTTACTTCTGAAAATCAGCAAACACATGAGTAAAGGAAAACAATAGACTTACAATAATGTGAAGTGTATTGTGAATAATAAGCTGATAATCCAGTCATAATTAGCATTTTAGATTTCAAAGATTTTGCATTAATAGTTTCATGCAGATAGATATTCCTCTCTGAAACAAATCATTTGATTAAAAAAAATCATTTCATATACATGTACGGGAAATTAAAGAAACATTTCAAGGTTAGAATAAAGTGCATCATAGTTACTTATTAGACTAAGTTACATTTTTGCATTGTCAACGTCTTTGGAATGTAAAGAATATTCATTGTAATTAATAGTGCATGTTTACACAGAAAAAAAAATATTCAGCGATGCCATTCAACATTTTTTAATTACCTAATTTTGACATGTTATGATTTATAATCACGATTTTGTCATAATAACTTTCACACTAGTACTTACATATATGTACCTGAACACATTTAGCAACAAACTCTCTCACAGCTATCATTAGGACATTAAACTTTCACATTAATAATCAACATGCATTACAATGAATCCCCATTAGATTTTATTTTAAAGAAAATTCTGAGTATTGTCCAACATTATTAACCACTCTTTATACCAAGCCATTCGGAAATTGATTTTATTCAAACGATATCAACTTTTGTTTGACACTTTAAATGCAGTGAAAGACAGGCAATTCAATACTTGCATTTTCAATACCTCTACATCCCTTTTTCTATAACTGCACGGAACTAGGTATTACATTACATCGATTTGAAGAATTTTAACAAACAATTCAACAAAAGCTGGCAAATGAAGCAGTGATTTGCAATTTAAGGAATAAAGAAAGTTATCATTAAAATGCAATTGACAGGTCTGATGGTATATTTTACTTTTTTATTCTCGATAGATCAAGGTACATGAGATTGTATAGTGCAATTTAAAATCTTCTTTCTCAGTTGTCGAAGAAAAGAATTTCATATTTAGATCAATTTATCAAGTCCTTTTGTTGTTTGTAATAAAAATTTGCTCTCAAGACACGTTTTATTAAGAACTTTGAATAAAGTTTCTGAAATTTTTAAATAAACGCCTTGACATATTTAGTAAATCATCGATGTAAGGATCAATTTTGGTTGAAAATAACCACTTAATATTTGATTTTGCGATACCTTAATTCCAAGGCAAACAATTAAATTGAATTTTACTAAAATCAAACACAATACGTAATGTTTTATTAAACATTCTGATTCGTTATCTATTGAGATGATATATACCGAGATACAAGTTGACATTCTCTTGCGATATTAAACTAACAAAAAAATGTGTTTAACATTTTAATTTGATGGGACATGTATACACTCTTTCACATGATATCGGTGGTCTGTCCGTTAAATGATTCCAATACATTTAATTACACTGCCATTTATTTTTATTTTAAAAAGGTGGATTCGTTGTTTTACGTGTATTACATCTTTTATAATAAATGTTAATATCACACACGTCTCTTTACTCAAAAATAAATATTAAAAGTTACTTACCTATTTAAATCAACCAAACTTAAAAACTATTCATCCTCTGGCGCAGTGTCCCTTCGATCTGGTATTAAACTCCCCGTATTTACCTGATTTGTTTAAAATCTGAGAGTGGATAGATATCTTTTCATTTTACTGCAAATAATAAATATGTAATCCTGTATTCGTCCTCGCGTCAGTTTGAATTCATATGTCAATAAATTCGACATTTAGAGTAGCTGGCGCGGAAAGTCTTGTCCATTAGTTAACAACAAAAATAAATCCGCCAGACAGTTGCGCGACTGTCGCACAAAGAACATGTGGATGTTATTTAGTATTTGTGTTTAAAAATCACCCGAGTTTCAATGGTCTCTAAATCAAATATTTAATTCATATTTTCTGTAGGCCGATTAAATTCCTCCGATCATGCATTTGGTGATCGAATACTTTGATAGATATGAAAGGAAAAAGATCTCTTAAAGAGAGAATGAATTTTTAAGTGTATCTCTCCGTAGCAATCAGGTATTCATTCACATTTAGGCGCAGTGCATATTGAATTTAAAGTTTATTAACTACATGTCCGAAATTTGTCTTTGGCATTTTTTTAATCAAATATACATAAACTCATCATATACTTTGTGCAAATGTATAAAATTTTCCTGCACAAATTTAAATTGAAGAAATTTATAAATATATATATCAAAATACTATACAAACTGCACAGAAGTCTGTAATAAAAAAAAAATTTGCCATATCTATTTTTCCCATAGAGTCTCAATAATGATTACTCAACTAATGTCAAAGAAGAATCCTTTAAAAATTACCAGTTTCAAAGTGTTCAGAAATCTCCCTTTCATGAAGGCATTCAAGCATTGACTGGAGATTCAATTTAACTAAAGCAACAAATATTTAGAAGTTTTGCAGATATTTTCAAAAATCAATCACCCCTCCCCTACCATCTCTGTATTTCTCCCTTTCATTGAAACCCCCAAAATGTTATGGACGTTTTCTCAAACGTAGATAATGAAAAAAAAAAGAAAGAAAGAAAAGAAGAGAAAAAGATTAAAGTCATACAAAATGTCCCTGTTATGTAAACATATATATCTTGTATGCATTTATATTAAAATTGCACATATAGTAAATCAAGATGAAATGCTTGCATAACGTAAAAATTTTATTTGCTTTTTGCGTCACCTCAAGTATCCCTCCAAAAATTACATAGCAGCAAAATGAGGTACTTTCAGAGTAAAAAAGTATTACATAATTCTATTGGTATGGTCTCTTAAGTCGTTGCAGTTTAAAGGCCGAATTTTAAATTTATTTCTAATTTATTTGATTTGCATCGAACTAGCAGAATACGTTTGACTTTGCGCGAATATGCATGAAAAATTATTTGAAAGGTTTTCCTCCACACCATGAATAACTGAAGGATATTTTGAATTATTTGGATTTTCCGAACAATGCATATATTAACAATTCATCTTTTAATCAACTAACGTTTTCTTCATTCTTCAGTATCACCCTCTGCTTATGATTTTATTATTATTTTTTTTTTTTTTATAAAAGGAGGAGGACTTCCTCATGTCCAAAATATTTTTATGATGTAACCCTAGTGATCTGGCTAGGCTATTGCATAAGTTGTAATTGAATCAAAACAAAGACAAAGAATATTGAGTGTGAATTATTTAATGACAATAACTATACAACACAATTATAGTTGTGGGAAGATCACCAGGATAATAACAGCAAAAAAATCCTTAGTACAAAGAACGATAAAATTGACAATGGGATCTCCCCTGTTGCAAACAATCATCAGTTTGGCAGAATATTTTAAACAAATAAAAGTAACACAAAACAAAAAGTTGTCAAAACGAAAAGCTGCCACCAAAAACAAACAGCTGTTTGCAACATCACAACGCCAAAACAACTTGTTTACACTTCAACATGTAAATCAGCGAAGTGATGCTATCTTGTGTCACGTGGTTTTAGCAATGACTACGATTGGATAATTAAAACTTTCTCCCAGTGGGAATGCTAATAACAAATAAAACTCATATCATCAATTAAAACTTCTACATGTTACATATTACATAAAGGCTATATGTATAATAATGCGTACTTTTGTTAATAATTCTTGTTGTATGGAAATCTGTAAGTACATCTTCATTTTCAAAATCGTTCAAAATACTAGTTATACTTTATTTAGATAACGTATATTGTCTCAGAAATTCTATTTTATGATACTGAAAAATAAAATTTCGAATATGTTTCTCAAAGCTTCGTGTTCATCGTTTTATTTCGTTTGTGAATGCCACTATTTTCAGTGTACCATAATTTAACTTCTATCAAAGACTGTGGAAGCTCCGTACCCCGTGTTTCAGGTACACACAGGATAAGTAATGTCACTATGAAGCACATTACAGAAAATATTGTTCCTGGAACCCAGGGTATTTCTTCGGCCTATAAAAAATTAGGAAAACATTGGAATACTTTTTTATAACCTTAGAGTTTTATAAGAATTATATTTTTAAAATATATTTTACCAACGTTCCAGCAAATGGTGATAATATTCCACCAATTCTTGCAAAGGCTGAAGAAAAACCTATGCCAACGTTCCTAGAGGAAGGACAAAAATCATATTTTCAAACCTTCTTTCCTTATCGGTAAACCAATATGTATTTATTACCCTTACTTTTACTTATCAGAATAGTATCTGCAGTATGTTTTCACTTTTATAGCAATAAGCACAAGCCTGTAAGAATCATGGCTGATATCCCCCTTCATAAGCTGAAATGCTTCCAATGGACTCTAAACAAACCAAAACACGGCTAAACTTGAAGAAATATCTTAAAATTTAACCTACCTCAGATTTGTTGGATAGAGCTCAGGTGTATACAAGAAAAGAGTGCTGAAAGACCCTGCGATTGCCATTTTCCCAACAAATGTTGTTACCACTGATAACGTTTGAAGTGCACTGTTATGTCCTTAAAATATTCAAATAGTCATCTTCCTTTATCAAAGTGTCGCACACACGTATTACTTTGATACAGGCTATTCCATCATGGAAATACCAAATACTGTTTTATAAATTATAATTACATGGTTCACTGTTGTGCTCAAAGTATTTGCGGAAGTTGGTGGACATTGCCGAAATTAAAAGCTTTGTGTACCTAAATTTTATTATAATAAAAATCTGTATGTAGTGGTTAAGGACATACGCAACGTAGTTTGATCTTAAATGTCTTTTTCCCTGAAGTTGAAGAGTTCCAATACGTGAAGGAACTGTGTGCTACATTTTAATGTCTACATATGCTGTTGTACACTTTTTCTAAAACAAGTTTGGGTAAAAAAAAACATCTAGAATACATGTTTAGTAATGTTTGTATATTTTTCTTTGAATTATACAAGAATTTTCATCAATTGATATTTTTTTCAAAACTCCTGGTAATACATGCTGATTTTTTGTCTACGAACATCTGATGACACTATAATCTTAAATTAAGAATATCTTGAAAAATTATCAGTAGGTGATGTACGTTGCTTATGTCCTTTAGTTTAGTTCAACTCCTGAATCAACATTGGTGCATATTTTAGCATATGACATAGACGAAACATATGTAAAAGTCAAAATGACATTTTTCTTTTGAAATGACAATGGATTGAAGACGGAAAGAAATATCCCTAGTTAAAACAATCGAATTTAAAGAAAGATGGTCAAAGGTTAATTAAAATAATATAATCAAGGTTTTTTTCGGTTTCTGGGTCTACATGCAATACCATGATACCAAGTTTTTGCGAAACTGGAAAGATTGAAATTATGGACCTTCCCAATTTTCAGAATGTCCACAGAAAGAGGGAAGGAAAAGTAACTGCGTTTAGTCATAGTGAATTGTGAAGGGTTTCAAATGTTCAATGTTAAAAACAATGCAAAAAAACTTTAGATCATGTATTTGGTTTTGAAATGCATGGTAGATAGAGAGAAATGTCCATGGCAAGATTGTCCTGCTTGGGAGTACTCTTAAAAAAGGAGATGTGTTGTAGATGGGAATAGGAAACAAAATATTCTCATTGATCAATCACAAATGGCTACCAAACAAAACTGTGTTGATCGACACTGTAGGTATATCAACCTAAAATGTCTGTAATCTTTTGGGGATGCATCAATCCTATGACTCTGTGAAAATTTGATGGGGATATAATTGCTTTGCAATAAATCAACATATGCATACTCGACCAAGGTCTATGATCAGGCATAGGATGAATTCACCATGCATCGGACACCCTCGCACTTCAACAAGTTCTAGCGATATCGCTACCGACCGAATATTATCAAAATGGAACTTAACATGTAGTATGTGATTAAAATATAAATTTTTGACACAATCGTGTGCTCTTTATTGAGAAAATATCATTAAAACCCGATTTTTTCGAAATAAGTCAGAATTCACCATGGATCGGACAATATTCACCATGCATCGGACATACGGTATTTTAACCAGAAAAATATCACACCTTGATCTCGGTGCTTTAAAATGAGTGAAATCGAAACATTTTTATCTTTTATTAAAAAATTAAACTTCTAGTTAAATTTGAATTACTATTTCGATCCACAAATGTGAAGAGATTTTAGGTGCATCACATCGCCTTAGAAAGGCTTTACAATGCTAGTAATATGGCAACTCGCGCCTTTGTCTCGTGGGTTATCATCATCTAGTTTAAAGAAATAAATTGGGTCCACTTCTAGTCGTCATATATCGATAACTTGTATTTTCACTTAAAATTTAGAGTTTTCATTTTCTATTTTCGTAAAAAACAGCTGTCATTTGGGTTTTATATGAGAATGGAAGTGATTACCCATGCATCGGAAAATGTCCGATGCATGGTTAATTTGTGTCCGATGTACGGTGAAATGAACATAATAGTAAAAAACAACTCTAAAAGTTATTATACAAACATTGAAGTAGAATTTTTGAAAAATTTCTGTAAAAATATCAATCATTGACAAATTTTACCTAGGCCCGACTCGTTCCGTTGAAGTCTATTTAAAAGACCGACAACTCTAAAAATTACAAAATCGTAAAATTCTGGTTACTCCCCTTTGATGATGCAAAATATGACGTAATTTCAAGGCCATTCTTGTGGTATTTTTATCACAACATGGAAATAAAAATCGGCATCATTAAAAAGTTTAAATCTTCACCTTTAAGACAGAAACAAGTAAAAACACGGGGAGACTCAGGTTCAATGAAAGTTTATTGCTTAAAGTTGTCCGAAGCAAGGTATGTGTCCGACGCATGGTTAACTCACCCTATACATGTAGTTTGATATTTACCAAAAAAGTATTAATTATATAAATTCAGCATTTCATAAATCATGTCCCCCGAAATAAATATTTTATAGGCCCATAGGAACAGGAGTCAGGGGGGAGGGCCCTTCCTTTCCAGAAATTTGTCGGTATATAATTTACACAAAAAAATCTCTTATTTACGAATATGACTCCTCAAAAATAACGCCTGATGACATTTTATTCTTTGTTAGTGGGTGTCATCCAAACTGAAATTCCTGCCTTCTATCCTGTTATAGAGAACTGATAGAAATTTCAAGCTCTACAAAGCTTGCGAAAGAAATCAGCTCCCCCGATCAAACATATTCAGAAGCTAAACAATGTACATGTCAATCTACAGACGCACTGTCGTCTGTGACATACATTGACATATACATTTTCTTTTGACAAGAAAGATAACTCTGAAATCGGTTCAGTCAATTTCCGCAAATAATTAAGCAATAAGACATCAATTTCAAATATAGCATTGTGGCATGAATACCTGCAAAGTAATTCAATATCGTAGCTGAAGCTAAGGAAACTCCGCATATGGCGTGAAAAATGATCGTTATAGCTCTTCTACCAAGACTAAAAAATAAAATTTTATCGTAAGTTTACTAACAATTTACTCAGTTTTTTTGAAAACTGCTCGAAATGCATTTTAATTGTTCATCAAATTGTCACATATATTAGGGGAAGAAAACTTTAAAATATTAATATTGAATGAAGATGTGATATTATTTCAAATTTCTTTTTTATCTAATTAAATAAATGAAATGTCTTTTTCTATCGTTTGATTTTGAAAGTTTTATTTTGAAATTCTTAACGAACTGCAACAAAGGTTGAGAGGATATTCCCTCAAGACTTTGAATGAGTAACATTCAGCTACAAAGCTTAAAACCCAACATTTCATTCCATCTTTAATAACAAAATATGCTTGAGGTTGAAAAAAGAGCAGACTAGAGATTTAGTTTATAACTTACCAAAGAAGCATGACATGTGTAAGAATTACAGCAATATATTCCACAAAAGAGGATAGGAAGAAATTTAGGAAACGATCACCCGCCAATCTTGTAGAAGTCAAGGTTAATCCAAAGTATGTGAGTGTGTTGGTCACCCTACAATACAAAAACAACATCATTGTTTAATACTACATGTATACTTATTTTAAATTGATAAATATTTTAGAACGTCTATTTATGGAATTATTATCTTGCTTTTAGGGTCTTTGGAGGTAGAAACCTCATTCAAACACGAGATGATTCAGAGACTCTAATCATCAACGACTTATCAACTTTATTCACTTCCAAAACTAAAATGCTATTGTTTGCTTAAAAACTGAACTTACGATGTGTTAATGACCTATATGTACGTATTTTATATCAAAATTTATGTCATTCCATACAACCCCAGTCTTTTACACACCAAAAATTATTTAAACATGGAAGCAACCGATTCCACAACCCACTTTCTTTATGTGGGATAAATGACTGACGAAGAAAACGCTAAAGAAATCTTATTGGCGGTCTATTAAGATGATAGACCCAATTTTACTTATAGGATTATGTAGAAAATTGTATTGGATGTAGATATAGCACACTAATTTATAACCAACAACTTTATCTGATGCATGCTAACATAGGATGCATTAATTTGTGGTTGTGCTAATTAGTATTACATCTTCAGAAAAACTGAATATACATTGCTCTAGGTACAGATGAATAGAATGTGCATAAATATTAACACTTATACTAATCTATAGAAACTTACCATGTAAACCACATAATCAGCGATATTGCAAAAATGTTTTTATTTCGCAAAATTGTTAAAAATGAGTATTTCTCAACCAAAGGCAAATCAGACTTCTGGTATAGTTGGTCACTTTTCTTATCTTCTATCTGTTGCACAGAGACCGTTTTGGTAAGCGCCATTTTTCCTTCCACTATCTTCCTCAGATCTTCATAATTTAGTTTATTCCATTTTGCCACTTTTCGTATTACTCTATCAGCCTCCTCCTTTTTTCCATTTGCTGCAAGCCATCTTAAAGATTCATCTTGAACCCTTCAGGTAAATGATTTATTAGTAAGTTGCATTCTACACTGCACATGATATATTTATATTGATATTTTTTCTTTGCAAACTGTATGCAATGAAAATCCATGTGTTTGATGTTTGAAACAAATAATATTTACTATTTTGTGAGAATTTTAACTTCATGAAGTTAATATAACGTATCCTCTCAAAAAAAAAAAAAAAAAAAAAAAAAAAAAAAAAAAAAAAAATTATCAAAATAATTACTTAAAATTAATTCAAGCTGCAAATTCCAATAACTCCGGGAACACTAAAGATGTAAAGTACCATAAATATTGTTTTATGCCGAAGACTATTATATCTCTAGTAATTTCGTTAAATCGTCAACATTTTTAATATGAATTATTCAATTAAAGATAGTGTGAACAGATATATTTAATCAAATTTTGTTCCGAAAGAGAGAGCATAAAAATGTCTAAATTTAAAGAGTTCTTTTTGGTAGAAAAATTCCTACTGTTCCTATATCTACCATGCAGGAGAAATAGGTATCTTTTAAACGACGCTAAACTCAGTAGATTACTGAAGACGCTTTAGGTTACGTACTTAAATAACTTCATTCATTCTTACCAATACTGTACCAGACTAAACAGAGAAAAACACGTAAGAGCTATCTGCAGATATCGCCAACTGTAGTCTTTCATCAGATAAGCAATGGGTGCCATGATGATAAGTCCAGTAGTCCAGACAAACATACCTAATGTCTCTGTGTAAAAACGTGTTCTCTCCGGGAACAGTTCTAACGCTAACACCGCATTAGGCATTACCATTCCCTATTTTAAAAAAACTACGTTTAACTCTTAGAAATGACTAGTATGCTGTTAACTGTATGTTTTCTTGTGATTATTAAAAAAAGCAAAGAAACCAAACTCCTTTTATCTTCAATTTAGGTTTTTTTTAAAAAGTCTTTACCTTCATTCATTATACCCCTCAATTACCTGTTGTAAAACACCTAGAATGAATTTCAAAATAGCCAGGGTTATGTAGCTTCGTGAGAAAGCAACACCAAAACCAAATGTCATGGTCAAAAGATGAGAGACAAGAAGAATGGTCTTCCTTCCAAATTTGTCTGCGAGTGAAGATGCGAAGGCTGCTCCGACCAATTGTCCTGCCATGATCAACGTTTGGACAAGTTCAGCTAGGGGAGCTCGATCGCAGACAAGGTTCATCTGCAAAATATATTTATATCCACAAATTTTTCCTGTAATGAGAGGAGATAATTCTGGCTATTCGCAGCTTGTTTTGCTAAACATCTTGTATATAATATTAAGAAAAACTCCGATTAAGTGAACATATCATTTATTAAACTAGCCAACAAAAGACTAAAACTATATTTACATATTACATAGACTTAGATAATAATTAATTGGCTTAGCTAAAAATTATAGTAATATGACAAATTGACTAGTTTTACATGCTGACTATTCACATGACACAATTCTTACAAATCACATGACAAAAATAGCGCAGCCAATAGACTAAACGTTAAAAACACCATAAAAAGCAATATATTTTAAAGCCAGGAAACTTTAAATCGCTGAGTCAAATTCTGAATTCTTTGTAAAACTTAGGAAGAAAAAGACGTATTAATCAGTTTTTAATTGTAGCAATGTAGTACTAGCATTAATCCGAAAGTAATGTCAAACGTAAATAAAATCTTAAATAATGGGAAGTCATCAACATATTTTTTACACAAATGCCTATCTATTTTGACTTTTGCCTTAAAAGTAATTAAGTTACATGAAAAACTTTATAGAATAAAATGATTAACACAATGCTAGTAGGTTACGCGCTATAACCGCACGACAAATATGTCACCCACGTCTTCATGGAGTTTCTTTTCAGAACTCATATCTAGTTCATATAAAATTCTATGAAATTTCTTACACCCGATTTAATTTCCATGCATTTTAAAAATCTTGAATGCAATTGTGGTAATAAGCATCTCTCTTTGAGTTGTTCTTTTCAAATTACATGTATTTGGATTGTCAAAAGTTAATTTTCAATTTCATTCCGTTCTGCTTAAATCTTCTAGTGTATTGTAAAAATCAGGAGTGATGACGTTAAAGCTTGTTTGATCATTAAATAACTTCCTTTTCCTCTGTTGGAATACAGAAAAAAAGTTGATTAAAAGTCAAGACAAAACCACAGAAACTTTAAATACTAATAAGGAGAATAATTAATTTCATATACATGTAGATAAAACATTTTATAAAACAGCTTATAAATGGAATTTAGAAGATAGATAGGTGCAAGTAAGAGGAAGCAACCAACCTTTAATGTTCCGACGATACATGTACATGAGAAGATTTATACATAATCTGTCTCTTAACAGTGCAGGATCAGCATGTACATCAATGTACATTCCTAAATATTTTGAACTATATTGCGTGAAGAATCGTGCACTTGCATTCGCAATCGTGATCGTTCGAGTAACGCGTATAATCGTGTGCGGGAAGGATCGTTCGTGTATCAGGAATAATCGTGCGGAATCGTTCGTGTAACGTGATCATTCGTGTACAATAACGTTTCAGCCACTGTTTAATGAAATTTTCAATACCAAAAATTTACTTTAACAAAAAGTTAACACCTAAACACACACATACCATGTGTCTGAATGTTAACTATGTTCACCTAAGTTGGAGTTGGATGCTGGAGAAATAATTTTCATAACCAATTGTATCAGTATGGAAATTCTAAATATTTTTGGAGCAATGTAGAAAAAAAAACCTTATGTTCACTTGGAAGTTCACCTGCAGGTGAACATAACGTAGTATTTTTTTCTACGATGTTGAAACTCAGCCAATCAGAGAGGTAATAATAATTCAATTATATACATGTACCTCTGTTACTATTGTACTGTGCTTTCCTAGACTGTAGTGAAATCCATGAATACAAGTAGTCTGATTAATCAGCTGAGGTCTCCCTTGGTTTGTGTTGTTGAGAAATGTTTTGATGTGACATTTTTCGTATGTTATGTAGATCGAATTGTTTTTACCATCTTTGTTCTCTATTTCGGGAATTGCACATTGAAAATCTGGTCGATAGCCTTTAAAAAAAAACCGTTCGTCAACCTTTCCTTAAAAGTATTAACATTTAAAGACAAATTTACCCTCGAGGAACTAAATTGTTGTAATTAACACACGTATACAGTATAATAATATCTTTTTCCAAGAAATTTAATCAAATTACACATAAATCTTTCAAATAGTAGGTTCTACCGCGTCAAACAAATTTTGAATTTGAATTCCTTAATACTAAATACAGAGTGACTTTTGTGATGGAATGACAGCTTTACAAACTGAATTAATAAATTTCAAAAACCTACCAATAAAAACTCCTATCAAGAGTTGGTATCCTGCTGGCCATATATTAAACAACGATATAGCTGTCTGAACAACTTGATATGGACCCCACTTTCCATATCTGCATTATATCAAATCAAATATCTTGAATTTCATGTTATACTTTAATGACATCATAAACTTACAAAATTGAAGTTACAGCACTTAGCAGTGTTATAAATTGCTTTGTATCAGAATATATCTAAGATCAAATAAGTGCTGTCGATGGATTTTTTATTATTATTATTGCAAAGTGTTTGTAAAATTGTGCGCTTTATAAATATGAAATGCTCACATGACATTATTTAAAAAAACAAAATAAAACAAAACAACTGAAATGATATACGAGGGGCATTTGAAAAGTTCTGAGAACTGTTTGATAAAATATTAACCTTTTAACAGAAATTACAGAATTTGATATCATTGGTCATATCACAAAAATATACACATACTGTGTCGTCACTTTGTAATTTTTATTACGTAATAACTCTGAAAATGACATCAGAATCTCGAATGTCTAGCATACTGACCATAAAAATGACTTAACAAGAGACACAATTTCAGTAAAGTAAAATTTTAAAGTCAACTTTTGTTAATTACTCGGATCCAAGCTAACGGACACAACTGCCAGTTGGAAAAATGTTTACATAGACAACAGTCTATCATATGAACTAATATTCAGGGGCTCCTATAGTTCTGAGATGGTTTACGAGTGTGTCAAACGTAGCATGTTATTATCGAATCTCTCGCAAAATATTGGGTGAAAAAGACGATGCTGTGAGAAAATCACAAAGTTGATGATCACAGAAGAATAGTGGACGGCGTTACATAGTTTGCTGGCATTAATTCGTCAGGTATTTTAACCAATTTTGCGGGAACGATTAAAGCTCAAGAGAGGTTAAGCTAAGGGTGTCCTATATTTTCTCGTAAAAACCAAAATGGCGCCGGTGTAGTTCTGACCCCACCGTAACTCGATATGTTCGAAAATTTTAAATCTTGGAAAACAGATAAGATTGTACATGGCAATGAAATTCAAATTTATTTTCTTGAGTCGAAAGTCAAAAGCAATAGTGTGTTTTGTATCGCCGAAGTTGAAATAATATGGAAAAAAAATACGCACAAAAAGAAGTCCGGGTGAAGACTTATGTACGTCTTATTCGTACACGGTAAGAGCCCTGATACTCAAAATACATTTGTGGAAAAGTGCATTGTTACACTTCAGTTTTATATAGAATATATTTTATTTGATATAGTGGAGAGCTATATAATAGACCGAGAATTAAGCTATATCATACAAATAAGAATCTTTTATGAACGACTAAGATAACATTACCGTTCTTATTAACCAAGCACAAAAAATAAAATATGGAATTGCTGATTTACCGTACCATTCTTAACGTCTTAATCTACCTCCTTGCATATTTTCTTTGAAATATCTTTTCAAAGAAGCCTTTGAAAGCACTTTTTCGATCTTCTCATGTGGAAAAGAAGGCGACTTTTCATTTTTGGAGTTATTACGTCATGAATAAAAGAGAATGACCTTAATATAAGTGCAATTTTTTCAGCTCTTTTCAATGGTATCAAACTTATTAACGTCTGTGAAATGGTTAATATTTTAGCAAGCAGTTCTCAGAACTTTTCAAATGCCCCTCGTAAGAGTAAAAAAGTCATCAAGAAAAATGAAATTGGATTTTGTGGTTGTTTTTGAAAAGCTTTGAGTTTTAATAGAGACATGAAAAGAAATATTTTAAATTAAATTCGGTTAAAGATTAATTTGAGTTAATATGATAACTGATGCACAAAACTGACACAAACATGAAATGTATTTTCGCAACTGATCTACTTACATGTAATTATCATTCAATTCCTTCTCAGATACAGTTTCTTTTGACATCGTCTTTTCATTCTGCTCCATATCACAACCAAACAACAAACTAAGAGTGCATTACGTAAATTAACTGTATGAATGTCCCACTTATACAATTTCACACTAATTATATGTGGCCATGCATTGAATACGTGAAACAATCCATGCACTGTTGAGACTGCTTTAATTATAAAAAATAAGATTATGTAGTAAAACAGGTGGCGAAAATGTGCACCAAATATAATGCCTCTTTCTTTCTAGGATTGGACATAACTTTAATTTGAACATTCACAGAGAAATCAATATAATGAATGAATGATTGATTGATTGTATGTTGTCTTAGGTCCCGTTCGAGAATTTTTCACTCATATTCAGAAAATGATAACTTTTTAAGGTTACCAAATGTACAAAGCAAATGCACTTTACATTTTGTACAAATTCTGTAAAATCATAAAAATTGAAACATAATTGAAGCAACCCTAAAATCAACATGTTTATCAAAATTGTTTCATAAATGATTCATTACATGTACTACAAATTAGATAAAAAGTTAGATTTATAAGTACTTCTACACAGTACTAGATATTATCACGTAATTTTATTGATTTCTGTAAGTTAACTAATTTTCAGAATGGATTTCAAATTACAGGATTTCATCGAAATAAATAATATTTTATTATAAATCTAATCATTAAATTTTCAAAATATGCTGCATATAACTCTAAACAGATCTTCATTTTGTATCTAGTATTGTGGTTAAACAAAGAATGGATGAATTTTGTGCCGTGAATTCTAAGCTTGATTATAGAGATACAGTATGCACAGAAAACCGGAATAGGGAGTATAATGCTTTTTTTTTTTTAAATTTAATTAAAATATATATAATGTCAAGTGCCTATGACAGTATAATGATTACAAGCAGGCGACTATATCTTGATAGAATTCAGTGTCATTGCTTCTTTTTCATTGTTTTACAATAGAAAATTTGAATGTTTTATCGTCCACGGATGATTCTGAAGAAATAAGGATTCAAGAGGAAAATAATAAAGGTAATTTTTTGTACAGACATTTAAGCAGAACGGTCTTGTATGTTTATTTCTTCTGGTGTAAACATGTGCATATTATGTGTGCATATTATATGTGCATATTCTGCAATCAATTTAAAAAAAAAATAGATTGCAGAAATATTTTGAAATGGTAATTGGCAGAAAAAGTAAATAAAGATTACTCAGAGAGTCCTTTGAAATTACATTGTATTCAGGGTTATCTCACTTCATGTTACAGTCTATTCTCTAAAAAAATTCATTGTGTTACAGCAACAACAAAAACTTGCATCTACTCACTCTTTCATTGCATATTCTTGAAGTTTTTTCACCAAAAATTTCATTAAAAACTGTTAAAAAATTTTCATACCGTATTGCATGTAATTGATGAATACAGAAAAAGACTAGAATCTTTAGACCAGTTCTCGTCAAAACCTAAGGGATTGTTCCTCAATCAACGATAAAGATCCTATTCAACTTTCTGTAAAATTATCTCCAGAAAAACATATTTAAAGTTCACTGGAATTCCCGAAATGTCGGATGAGAACACTAACAATGTAATACTTAACACCATCAACAAATGTGTTTTGAATGAAGGGCAAATTTCATTTAATGTCAATGCTATTAGTACTTCCCATCGTCTTGGACCTCCTCGTCAAGACAGGCCAAGGGACATTATTGTCAGATTTGTTCGATACAGTGACAAGGCCCTTGTTTACAACAACAAGAGCAACCTAAAGGGCTGGAATGACAACCCTACTAATTGCTACAAAATCTATATCAACGAGGCACTGACTCGAAGAAGGTCCATGTTGTTCGCCAAGACCAGAGAAGCTGTCCGAAATCACCGGGCTAAAGGTTGTTGGACATATGACGGAAAAATCTATATTAAGAAAAACAATGACAAAAAGGCCGTTATTAAAAACATAACTGATTTGGACCGTCTTATAGTTACAAACACTCAGGCAAGGGAGACGATAGATGAGGCTGAGGACGATACACAGGAGGGGTTATATTCATCAGTGGTTAAGGCCACCTCTGCAGGAGCATCAACCAGCTCTCTCTCCGGAAATCAAGGTACGCCCCATGGTGAGAATTTAAACGGCTGACCATTTGATCAAACATGTAAAATAAATTTACCAGATGTCATATCGTCTATTTTCTTCATTCATAAATCATAATCATCTAGCAGAATTGTGCGCATAAACACTTTCTCTATGGCAATCTGCCTAGTAAGACTCTGTTTGCTTAACTTGTTTATCATTCTAAACTACACCATAACCGTGTTTCGGTTTCAAACCCTTTATTCTCTTTTGTACATATATTACTTGTCTTTAATTTTCACTAAAGTCACTTATTTTTGTATATTTCTAGCATTTGCATTGTTTGCTTCTTCTTTGTTACATCGTTTCTTTTTTTATGTTAAAACAAAAAAGTGTGATTGTCAACCTATTTTTCAACAACCTTTTCCCTTGTATTTCTATTTGACACATATATACTTTCCTATGTGCGACCAAAACATCAATCACTTTTTATTTTGCATAAATACAGTCATGGACAATGGGTAATACGGTTATGCAACATCGTGCCGCAATAGGAAATTTCTACCTTGCATGTAGAGGTATTTATACATCTTCAATGTTTGTTTTCTTTAGTTTTGTACAGTTATCGGAATACGCCCGTAAATTCTTCAAAAAACATTTGTCATGGGATTTGAAGAGTTTTATTAGAATATCGATGTGTGTAAACTTTTTCTTTCATTTTTTTATTTTTACTTTATTGTTGTCTGGTGATATCAAGATTAACCCTGGTCCCACTCATGAGAGTGTCCTCGACATTTTTCACTTAAACATTAGAAGCATAAGAAACAAGATAGATTATTTAAATACAATTATTCATGATTTTGATATCGCCTGTTTCACTGAAACTCATTTAGACAATAGTATACTAAATGATGATCTTCATATCGAAGGATTTAACTGTATTATTCGCAAAGACAGGAATTCATTTGGGGGCGGTGTGATGATTTATCTATCAAATGCTATTTCTGCCCGTCGTCGGGTAGATTTAGAACCTACAAATATTGAATGTATATGGATTGAAATAGAAAACCCTACCTCTAACTATCTTCTGTGCTGTATATACCGCCCACCACACATTGAAAATGTTTTCTGGAGAAATTTTTCCTGGTCCATAGATAAAGCAGTCGAATTATCCAATCGAATAATAATTGTTGGTGACATAAACACAGATTTTTTAAACATTCCATTTTAACAACACTAAACATTGAAGCAAACGATTCAGGTGTTCTATATATAGACTCCTTTATAAGTGATCACAAAGCAACCAACATATCAATTTCACAAAACTACAATCTTAATAGTGCATATAAACGTAAAATATGGCAGTATAAAAATACAGACATTGAAAAATTAAATAATTTAATTGAATCTTGTGATTGGGATGAGCTAATCTGTAATGCAGAAAACATAAACTCCGCTACTGAGCTTTTTTCTTCAAAATATTTGTCATATGTTCGTGAATGCATACCCGAACAAACAATTACTATAAGACCTAAAGACAAACCTTGGTTTGATTCCCTATTAAGAAAATTTATTAGAATACGAAATAGATTGCGAAATAAAGCGTTGAAAACTAAAAATGACTCTGACTGGGCTAACTATCGTAAAATTAGGAATAAAGTTAATAATATGAAAAAGCATGCGCTGTCAAACTACTATGACAATATTGATATACAAATCAACGATGCAAATAAAAATAACAACAAATTATACTGGAAGCTAATGAAAGAAGCTTTCTGTACTAAACTTTCATCAGATATACCGCCCATTCACTATATATCCGAAAGTGGAAATAATGCAACAGCATTTTCTGATCTAGAAAAGGTTGAAATACTAAACAACTATTTCTCGTCTATTTCTAATATAGATGACAATGGCAATGAATTACCGAAAAAATATTCATTATGTAATGATAGGCTAAGTGATATTTTGATTCAAGAACAGGAAATAATTGATATAATATCCATACTTCCGGTAAACAAAACTATAGGACCAGATTGCATAAGTCATAAAATGTTGAAAGCAACAATCCAGACTATTTCAAAACCATTATGTAAACTATTTAACAGGTCTCTAAAAGAAAAAGTTGTCCCATACCACTGGAAACTAGCTCATGTACTGCCTCTTTTCAAAAAAGACGACCCGTCTTTAACATCAAATTATAGACCAGTATCATTACTGAGCTACGTAAGTAAAATTATGGAAAGAATAATTTTTAAGCATGTGTATAATTATTTTCATACAAATGATTTGTTCTACAAATACCAGGCAGGTTTTCTACCTGGTCACTCAACCGTTTATCAATTGCTAGAAACATACCACAGTATTGCTAAAAGTATTGATGAGGGAAAATCATGTTGTATGATATTTTGTGATTTATCAAAGGCTTTCGATAGAGTATGGCACAAGGGTCTTCTTCTTAAACTACAAACGTATGGAATTTCGGGCAATCTTTTTGAATGGTTTCAAAGTTACCTGAACAATCGTACTCAAAAAGTTATGTACAAAGATACTTTGTCTTCTAGCAAGGCTATTAATGCCGGGGTATCCAAAGGCTCAGTCCTTGGACCCTTGTTATTTCTAATATATATAAATGATGTTTCAGAAAACATGTTATCACTTTGTAGATTATTTGCAGATGACAATTCTATACAAAGTTCTTCGTCAAATGTTGCTAACATAGAATATAATGTTAATCACGATCTAGAAGTTTTAGATGAATGGTCTAAAAAATGGTTACTAAAATTTAATCCTTCAAAAACTAAAGCTATATTCTTTACACTTAAAAAAAAAATTTGAGCTTCCAAAACTATATTTTCAACAATGTCAAATACAGTGTGTATCCACGCATAAACATCTTGGTCTACTTTTTTCACAAGACTTAAGTTGGTCTGAATATATTAATAGCATAGTAAATACTGCA